AGTGGTGAATTTATAAAAACATATGCAGGAGAAAGTAAAGAAATTTAGAAAAAACAGTCCAAGATATCTAACATTTGAATTACAGAATATACAGAAAAAGAGAAGAGGCAAATATTAAAAGCAGGGTTTTTCAGGGCCACGTTGTCAAAGAAATTCCAAGAACTCCAGACTGAAAGGACTCCCCACGAGCCAGCCCTGATCCTGAGGGTGATGGTGGCCAGGGACTGGCCAGGTCAGCGGGGGCTGGTTGGAAGACTTAAGAACATGGACACCAGTGAGACCCACGCCGAGGCCAGGCAGGTCACGAAGAGCTGTCAGACCCGAATCTCAGACAGCCATGGAGCTGGTCAAGCCACTCCCCACTGCAGAGAGAGCAAAGTGACCCCAGCCCTCTCTACCCCTCATTCCCCACGGCTTCCCACTGGCTCTCGCCCCAGGGACCCAGTTGAATCTGAGGGAGAAGCCAGGGTAAGAGTTAAAGACTCAGAAATCTCTGACAACTAGCCTTTTCTATTAAAAAGAGGGTATATTATCTACAGGAATTGTCAACATCACCGATTACTTTAAATTTTCAATTAGGTAAGAACTAAATCTGTTTACTTCCGCTAACCACGCTGGGCTGCTCATGAGAAATACTGGATGTTTTATGGGCAATAGGAAAGGACACTTTCTTCTAATTGTAGATGTCATCTGAGACTGAAAAAAACTCCTATGAAGTGGGGAGAAAACAAGGCCAGACTCAATCTCTCCTCTCCGCCACTCACAACAAAGAAAATATCTGGGTAAAGGAACACAACCACCTTAGAGAAGCCTGAAGATTCAGGTTGATTTGCAAGTGGATGTATTTGCCTGTATGAAGCACAGCTTACACTCTGTCTCATGCAAAGACAGCGACAGGGCACGACCCCCCTGTCTTCCTGCACACCTGCCTCGTGCTGATGGGGGATGCCTGTGTTGCCGTCTTGGGGGAACTTCTGTCTGGAGCTGCCAGTCTGCTCTGAGGCTTGAGCTGGTTGAACCGTGCCTCCACTGTGTGTGTCAGCGTTCTGCTGCTAAAAGGAAATAACTGAGCAGGCTAGCGTTGCATACAAAGCAGGTTTATTTTGGCTCGTGGTTCTGGAGGCACCATACCAAGGGTCCAAATCCATGATCGCTTTCCTGTCTATGCGGCTCTCTCTCTCTCGCTCGCTCTCACTCTCTTGCTCTCTTTCTCTCTCTCTGTTCTTACAAAGTCACCAGGATTCAATCATGGGAGCATGACTGCTCTAATGATCTCATCTCATTCCTTCCCAAAGGCCTTGCCTCTGGAAACCACAGTTGGATTTTTAAACTCACTGCCATGAGACTTTGGGAGTGAAAGTCCTGTGTGAGCTGCAGAAGGGCAAAGCACACTCGAACCGCAACATCCACTTTTTGCTGAAATTTGCGTGTATCTAAATGTGGGCATCTACGCGGACACCAGGGAATGCTGCTATCCGGCAATTCCACCTATGACAGGTCTTAGTGGGACTTCCATGCATCCTTAGCAGTGCACGGACTATGCCTCTTAGTCACACTTAGAACAGGCACACACGCTGCAAACATCTCTATTTAAGTTTTCTGTGCAATGAGTGTCCACTGGACACTGGGAATGTGTTAATGGGTTTGAAAGTCCTGCAGATAATGCCTCTTCATCCTTACTTTGTAACAGAGGCTCAGAGAAGTGCAGTAGCTTGCTGAGTGCCACAACAGAGGTCAGACTCGTGGTCAGGTCCGTAGATACTTAAGCCTGGGCTTCTCGTACCGTCCCTTACTGCTTGCCTAGCTGTAAAGGAATTGGCTCACACAAGCTGAACCTACTTGTTGTGAAACAGCACACACATGGGAATTCTGCCTCAGGCTAGACAGAGTAGCAGAAACTGCATGAATCCCCAAATGGAAGCGACCAGAATGTCAGACAGACACCGTAATGAAACAATAGCAGTGAATAAAAATGATCCCCGTAATAAGGTGGAGATGAAGGGAGCCTCAGCTTCCTGACTTCTGAGAGCTTCCAGACTGAAGAGGAACTCAGACAGCACCCAGCAGACCTGAGCTAAGGAGAGGGAGCCGGGAGCCCCACGAGAGCAAGGCAGTGGGGGCTGGAGGGAGGTACACACAGAGAGAACCTGGGAGTTCTGCAAAGCACTCACGAGAGGGAGGTGCCGCCCCAAACAGGAGCAGAGCCATCCTGAAGGTTAGGGGGACCAATGCCAGCACTCTCACAGGGCCGGGCACAGGGCCTGGTTAAACTTGTCAGAATGGGGACATCATGTCCAGGGGACTTCATGGTGTGCTCAGAGGGAGCTTGCCTCAAGTGTGGCAGGTGATTGTTCTAGATGAGGTGGCACCATCTAGCGAGTCATAAAGGCAGTTCTCAGAAGGATCAGTCTGTCTCCAAAACAAAGCTCAAGAATTTTACTTGGCAAAGTGAAATTCAGAATGCCTGCCGTCGCATCAGATCTATCAGGCTTACACAAAAGGAAAGAAGGAATATATAAAAATAAAGAGTGAACAGAAGGATCCATCAAAGCCAACTCCGAGCTGATAATGACTTTAGAGGTTACAGGCATGGTATCATCACTGCATTCCATAAATAAAAATCAGATAAGCAAAGGCATAGGAGGCATGTCTATCCTATCATTTTCTAGGAATTAGTGTATATTGAATTCAGTTCTAGGTTCCAGGAGTTTTGTTTTTCTCTCCCTTGTATTACTTTAAAGAGCTCACTCCAGTATCTTCTCACTTGCATTTTATCTAAAACTTGGACTCCTCGGTGTCTAAGAACAAAAGTACATTGAAGTGATTAACTGCAGATGAGACGCTGCAGGAGACACAGCAGCAGAAAATACTCCAAAGGAAACACAAGGCAGAAAAGGATTTTAAGGAATGAAAAGTTCATCAGTGACTGTGGGACAGCTGCAAGCCATCTAACATATGTACGATTGGAGTCCCCAGGGGAGAAGAGAGGGAAAGGGAGACAGAAGAGCCATTTGAAGAATGGAAGAAAAATTGTTCAAAATGTAATGAATACCATAAACTCACAGATTCACAAGGACAACTGCAAGTACATAAATCTACTCCAAGGCACATCACAACCAAATGATTCATCCCAGTGAAAAAGAGGAAAGGCAGCCAGAGACAAGGGCGGGGAAGAGAGGGCGGAGGACAGCAGATTTCCCAGCAGAACTGATGCAGTGAGGAGACGGTGGGGCTGGGTCTAGGAAGGACCAAACCATCAGCAAACAATGACAACAGCAACAAAACCCTTTCAGCCTGGGATTTTAAACAAGTGAGCGGACCTCGAAAACTAAGGCACAGTACGCTTTTCCTCATGTACGAAAGGTGAAACGACTCAACAGATGATACATGAAACGTTGAAGGAAGTCATTCACGCTAGGGCATGAAGACCAAAGAAGGGCTTGGGCCCAATGTCCAAAGCAGGTCTAATTTGCAACAGCTAAAACCTGGGAATCAAATGCCCGTCGACAGGCTACTGGGGCTATGTCCAGAGATGGAGTACCACTCATTGGTGATGAACCCTTGGCTCACAAACCAACATGAGTGATTCTCAATGTTTTGCTGCTAAGTGAGGTCAGGTAAGAGCACATGCTGTCGGATCCCATTTCTATGTGATTTTAGAAAATACATGCTGATTTCCTTGTAATGAGACCCCTGTTTGCCGGGACTGGAGTGGTGGGGGCGGCTGCAGGATGGGGCTGCACCGAGCTTGCGGATGCTTCTGGAGGTGACGCACGGCCCACTCTTGGTTGCGGTGATGGTATCATGAGGTCAGCATAAACCATAATGTGCACTTAAATGTATGCGTTTTTTGTACGGCCATGTATAGCTCCACAGAGCTGCTAAAATGGCATTTCTGTTTCCTATATTATTGTACAAAACAAGGGATACTTTTAAGATACAGGAGGAAAATAAAAATCACTAGTTATCACCAAGAAAACATATTTTTGCTAATGCACATCTCAGTTCCTTGATATTGTAGCAAAAAGATGTACCTTAATGTATTTAACTAGTCTACATTATATATTCACATATTAACATTTATATACACAAATACATCCTAATCATCTGATAATATTTTGCAGTTAAAGTAAACTACTTTTGTGTGCACCACTAATTATTTCCTTGGTATACATTCCAGAAAGATCACAGAGTCTGAACAATTTTAAGGTGCTCTACAATTCCTCCTGGAAATAAGAGACATTTCAGACAGAAGCATCAACAAAACAGGAGATTCTGGTCTAGCACAAAACAAAAAACAGAGGGCCAGCCCTGTGCCACCAAGAGAGGCAGAGCATGGGGAAAGATGGTGCCAGGTTCCCAATCATTTCCCTGAATGGACAAATGCTCTTATGTGGAACACTGGGTCTCTCCCTGCCTTGGCCAAATCTCCTTTTGCGTAGGCAAAGGCAGAGACCAACTGAGCCCACCACTTGCTATCATAATGCTTTCTACACTTCGTGACTATATATATATATATGTATATATAGTATATGTATATATATATGACTATATATATGTATATATATTTGCTCAAAACCAAACACAGGACTGGGGAGCTTAAACAACAGCTGTTTCTTTCTCATGGTCCCAGCACCTAGTAAGTCCTAGGCCAAGGTGGCAGCAGGCAGGATTAATTCTGAGTTTCTTTTCCTGGCCTGTAGGCAGCCATCATCCAGCCAGGTGATCACATGCCCTCTTCTACAGGGGCAGAGAAAGAGAGAGGGAGGAAAGAGAAATGGCGAGAGAAGAGTGCATCAGATCTACATCCCCACCAAGTGTTCATTTAACCTTGATTCCATCCTAAAGACTCAGCATCCAGACAGCATGATGCTGGAGGTTGGGGCTGTGACATGAATATCGGGGACACACAAATATCACAGATATCCAGCAGATATCTGTAACAGATACTCAATCAATTACATCAACAGTTCAGAGTGCAGATCAAAATCTCATTTATTTTCATGACTAACACTGATTTACTGAAGATTTTGTTCCACTGGCTTCTCCATGGTTTTTAGCAAATACTCAGCAATAATTCACACAGATATTACCATATATATATCTTTACAATAAGCCATTTTTCTCCATCTGCTTTCAGAATTTTCTTTTTATCTTTGGTTTCAGTATTTTGACTATTGCACTAGTTCCATAGGTTTTCTGTTACAAAGTTTCCCAAACTGTAGGCTTGAATCAACAGAGCTCCATTCTTTCACAGTTCTGGAGGCTGGAAGTCTAAAATTAGGTGCCCCCAGGGCCACACTCCGTCCAAGAATGGGGCAGAAGCTGTCCTTACCCCTTCTGTGCTTCCGGGGTTAACCCTGTGTGTCTCTGTCAGTCACCTTGTCTTATAGGGACACCAGTCATGTTGGATCAGGGCCTACTCTAATCCAGTAGGACCTCATCCTAACTTGTTGACATTTGCAGAGAGTCTATACCCAAGTAGGATCACACTCCGAGGTTGCAGGAAGGACGCCAACGTTAGGAGGCACTGCACGGTGTAATCATGTTGGGCCCATACATTGTTTCTTTGCATTTTTAGTACTGGGGGCTCACTGAGATTTTTTGAATCCATAGACTAAGTATTTCCCCAACAGGAGAAATGTTGTTTCTCATATTCCATTTTCTTTCTCTTATCCTTATAGGACGTTATAGGGATATTATTCACAATTATATATTACATAGGGATATTATTCAATTATACATTATATAGAGATATTATTCACAATTACCCAATGCTTTGTTTCTATTATAGAACTTATTTAGGTTAACTAACTTCAATCTATCTTCAGCTTGATAGACTCTTCACTTTTTGACTCTATTCTCTGCTAAATCCATCCAGTGTTTTTTATTTCAGGCATTATCATTTTAGTTCTATAATTCCATGAACTATTTTTGAAAGTTTCTGTTTCTCTGTGATTTTTCTTATTGTCTATTTATGCTCTGCATGTTTCCTTCACATTCTCGAATCTTCTAGCTCCATCACCTGGGGCTGCTCTCCACTGATTTCCTTTTCTCTTGATGACGCTTCATATTTTCTAGGGTTCTTCTTATGTTATGAGATTTCAAATTGTGTCCTAGATATTGTGAACACTGTGTTGTTGTGGGAACCTGGATTCTGTTGGATTACTCCAAAAAGAAATCAGGAAATGAACTTCATTGGTCTCAAGCTGGAAACTTTTCTCTTGCAAAGAGGTTCAGAACCCAGACACATCATTCTTCATTAGCTGGACTCTGTGAAACACATTATCTCAGGAATTAGATAGAGATTCACGCAGAGTGCGCGCACAGACTTTGCCTTTCCTGTCCAGCTTCTACTTTGCAGGATTGCCCTTCACCCTCTACACAAAGACATGGATTTTCTATTGAACTTTAGCAACCAGGGTGGAGTTGACATTGAACTGCCATTAGGGTAAAACCAACACTATCAATACTTATTCCTTGCTATCCTTTTACTCCAAGTCTAAAGCCCACTTTAAAGCCATCTCCTTTTGTTCACCCTACATTGTCTGCAGAACATCTCAGCTTTTCTTCATAAATTAGAGGTGTTTTCCACAGGAAGTTCAGATGTAACAGAGAGGTACTCACTCACACCAGAAACAGAACCAGTGTGCTGCTGTTCAAGCAGAAGATACTTCAGCCGAGGACAGTATCTTCATAAATTATCTCAAGGCATGTAAGAACTCAAAAAGATAAAGGAAAAGAAAACATGAAATAAATACACAAAACTTTTTAATTAGAAGAAGTGTGTTTGTATTTCTTTTTCTTGTGTCTGTACAAATGACTGATGAATTCAACATTTCATGATCCAATGGTGTAATGAATGTTTATTTAAAGTTAATGGGAATAAAGACACTTTACTGAGCTATCATCAGTAAACGGATGGCATACACCTTGGAGACTTCTGAAGACAGCAGCTATTTTCAACCATCATTCAGCCCTTCATTCACAAGGTTGTGAAGGACAAAAATTAGTTTGAAGGATCTCTGTGCAATTCTCAAAGCCAAGTTGAGTTCCCCTCCCATGAGGTCTCTTTTGCCAATTTGCGCTTACATCAACATTCACTCTTTGCACAAATGCCCATGACACAACATATAGCCTTGTGTTGTAAATTTACTTTCCTTTGAGAATTGTAAAAGTTAAAAGGAACGGAGACCTGTTGTATAAACTCACTATACCATAAATGAGTATATTAGATACTTGTTAACATATAAGATAATTTGCTGTACAATGAAGACTGAGCATAAGAGCAAGAAAGTGAGAGAGAGAGAGAGAGAGCGAGCAAATCACAATGCTTTAAACAGGACAGAAATGTACGACCCTCTCCTGTAACAATCCAACAGTAAGTTACATTTGCTGGCAAAACAGATCCACCCTCTGAATACAGAGCTTCCCTCTCTCTGGAGCCAACGTGGCTGCTCCAGTCTCCAATCCAGCGGGCAGAGAGATGGGAGAAAACAAGGGGATTCAAGCACAACTCTCTGAGAGGGCAAGAACAGCTCACATCCTGCTGGCCAGAACCTACCCTGAGGACACAGACGGCTGAAAGTGGTTGCAAGAGATGCCATGATTATCTGGAAAGCTCCAGCCACAGCTCTGTTACCATGAAAGGGGTGGTAAGTAGATATCAGGGACAAACGGCACCCTGTCACCCTTAGGTCCAGGGGACTCATAAGGATTATATCCTGACACCTGCTGGAATTCCCCTATTTGTAAGCTCTGTTGCGTGCAGCAGACTTTAAGTGTGTCCTGAGCAGCAGAAACCGCAGAGCTGCCTGAGACCATGAGGATGGGATATGCTCACCTGCTCTCTCCACAGGTGTGTGACCGCTATCCATGTTAGCCTCACAGGCCGTGATCCAGATTCATGCTTTGGACAATGGCAAATTAGCTGGACGCGTGCTTTAACCTGTGTGTGCTGGCCAGTGGCCAATCCCAATCGCTCACCAGAGTCAGATGGAAAATACACACACACCCCACCTCATTGCTCTGTGTGGGGGGCATGGTATCCATCTTTGAGGCCTTGCGCAGGTGGCTATGTCACATAACCAGAGTTGGGACCCTCTCACCAGGGACATGAACACTCCACATTGGCTGTGGGAAATCCCTGAAAATATGAGATGTGTCTCCTGACTTCAAAGAAGCTTAAACTGGCTTTTGCCCCTATTGTTCAACTCAAAAACTTCAGGCTTCATTATAGTCTGGATTCGGTAGCAACCAGTGTCTAGGACCTCGAGGGGTAAATAAGAAATGTGAACTGACGTCCTCTTTGTGCCCAACAGAGTGCTGAGTTCCTTCCACACAGGTGAGGTCATAGAAAGTCCACAGGACCGAGAGTGTTAAGCCCCCATAGGCTAATCAACCCATAATTGTGTATGATTGGTCACGTTATTTTTCTCCGGTAATCACTGTATTTGATATCTCATGGGCTGTTTTAGAACTGTGTTAGTCCCAGCATCAGTGGGAGTGTTCTGGGGTCTTGATGTAAGATGTAAAATACAGGCTCAACTGGGTGGATCAGAAACCCAAACCCAGGATGGCTTACACCAGATGGGAAAGCACTCATTGCACATAAAACCCCAAGCAGGTGGCCCAGGCTGCTGCAGCCACGTCTGACACTGGTCTCCATCTGTCCCATCGTTTTTGAGCTCTACAGCGTCATCCTCATCCCCTGGCCACCTTTGAGTACAACCAAGTGGGGCTGAAGGAGAAAGGGACACCATGTCCTAATGTGTCATGTGCGCCTTCTGCTCACATACTGTTCTGTATTGAGAGGGAGAGAGAAGGGGGAGAGGACAGAGAGAGAGAGAGAAAAAAATCATCCTCGCTTCATTCCTCAAGTGCCCAGAACAGCTGGGGCTGAGCCAGGCTCAAGCCAGAGCCAGGAGTGTCATCTGGGTCTCCCAAGTGGGAGTCAGGGACCAAACCACCCAAGCCATCACCTGCTGCCTCCCAGGACGTCATCAGCAGGAAGCTGGAGTCAGGAGCCACAGCCAGGAGTCAAGCCTGCTCTCCAGTATGGGACGGGGCATAAAATGCCCACCCGCGCTTGTGTTCCCTGACAAGGACCTAACCAGCCGGCCCCATCTGGGTGCATCGGAGCCTTGTGAACATATCCTGAATCCTCGGCAGCCATGTGCTGAGTTAAATCTGTTCCTGTGGAAGAAGAGCCAACATCTGGAACAACTAGTGGTCCAGCACCAGAACAGAAACAACCTCAGCGTGTCAGAGGCAGAAAGAAGCAAACGATCACTCGCCATCAGTCTTGGGGCAGGAGGTCCTGCCTCACTGGATACTCACAGACCTCGTATCTTGCATGGATAAAGGGCGCCGGTCACTGAGCAGCCCTTTGATACTTGTAATGAACAAAAATATTTGGAATAAAACAATCACCTTCCCTTCTGTGAGCCACCAGCTCACAACCCCCAACTTCCTGACCCAAAGCTCCCCACCCCCCATTTGAGGGCTGCATGGTATTGACAGGGCAAATAGACAGGCACCTTGCAGACAAATCCATGTGTAGCCATAGCGACAGCAGCAAACCACAGCCAGTTTACTCCTTTGCAAGGGGCACACAGAAAGCTCTCAAGGTTGCTGTGTCTAGGCTGCCTGAATACGTTCAGGTTCCACACTGCCGGTAATCAAGGCGGAAAAATATTTTCCGCTGAAATCAGTTACATTCGTATGGACATAAATACACTGCACACACATTTCCTGTAGTTCTTTTGGAAAATAGTAGGAGATTAGCACTATACTTTATTCTAGTTTAAGATTCCACAAGGCAAACTCGAAGAGGCTGCCAATTTAATGGTTTTGGGCTAAAGTCTTCTTAAGAAATGGCAGGCAGGATAAAATTATGTACAGATCTACCTGGGTCAGAACTCGAAGGGGCTCTAGCAATTGCCTGATTGAACCAAGAATCCTTACCACTGCTACAACTCAAGTAATGTGGACGACTGATGTCACGTGATCCACCCACAGCCACAAGGATACTAAGTTTCCACATTTCTCAGCTACTTTTCTTAGCAAACGATCTCAAAGCTGACTTCATGTGTAACCATAAAGCATTCAAGCACAAGGTAATTCACTAAGAAAGTCCATTCCAGCATCCACTGTGCTTACGGAGCAAGAAATAGGAAATTTGTGTAATGAAAACATAAAGGAGCGTTGCATTCGCTTCCTGGCGTCAGCGTTCCGTAGTGACTCAGCCCTGCACTGAGAGCAGGCATGATGCAAATAAACCGCTAGGTTAGCTAATGCACCCAGCTCAGTGCCAAACGCTCCTGTGCCAACCAGGAGGAGCCGAGGGTGAACAAGCACGTGTGAAGTTGGAGGAGGCTGGTTCTTCGCTGTTGGTTCACCTTGGCTGGGTGTCTTCACATCTGATGCTAAGGTTTAGCACTGGGGGAACGTGACCCTCAGACGTAGGAGCAATGCTTTGTGAGTGGCCCTGGCCCACAGATGGCACTGCTCCCACGGGGCCAGGACACCCAGGCTCTGCAGGAGGCTGAGGGAGCAGCAGGGAGCGCCTCATGGTGGAATGCAGCCAGACTTGGAAGAGGTCAGCTCTGGCCATGTCCCTCAACCCTCGTGTGCCAGGTGCAGGCGGGACAGGCTCTGGGTGCTGTCCGTGGACTTGGGAAAGCTTCCTGAGGATCTCTGGACAGAGGAGTCTTCTAGAGATTCGGCAGTGATGGAGTTAAAAACATGTCCCAAGAAAACAAGCCACACACGGGACAGAAAGCAAGGGGAGCCTCTCGCTGGAGCACAGCCCCCTCAAGTGTGTGGGCTCCTCAGAGGAGAGGGCAATGGTGCAAGTGGTGTTAAAGTGCCCGGCTGCAGGGTTCCAGCACACAGCACGCAGGTGCAACAGGGCTCTGCGAAACTGCACCACAAACACGGCTCAGGCGGAGCACACAACGTCTCGTCTGGCTAGACGCGGCACGTGGCTGCAGTCACCGGCGTTCACCAGAATTGCGGATTAGGCTCAGCACCGTCTGCAGGACCATCTCTCGTGAGGGGCTGGCATCCACCACGTGGCAGCCGGGATTCTCCATCCGCCGGTAGCACTCTTCCACCCTGGAGACAGGCAGGAAGAAAAGAGCGGGCCAACTTACACACAGCTCCTCTGCCAGGGTGACTCTCCTAACACGGTGTGAACAGTTTGCAGCCAGGGCCCCGTCTCAGCCACCACACTGCTCCTCTCAGCCACACGCTCCGCCCAAGGAAGATGCTTCAGGCGTTTTGTCCGGTGAATGATAAATCAGGCACGGCAGGTGACGACCAGAAGGTCGTGCACGCCTGCTACCTAGCCGGCATCCGGACGTTCCACATGCTACTTCCCACTAGGCACCCGGGGGACTTGGCAGGGGAGCTGTTGCCCTTCCCTCTGCAGGAGGCTCTGCCGCAGAGGTTTGAACACGTTTAGTCCTTTGCAACGGGCACAAAGAAATTTGCACAGGGAACTTACGCAAGGTCAAGTGTATCCCCCGTCTGTGCTCTGAATGATACCCCTACAACAGAGACCTCAGCATGTACGTCAGTTTCACTGGTGATTCTTCTAACCTAACCACAGGAGTCTACGTGCCCCTTTAAAGCTAACTGGCACCTCCCCTCTGGTGCGAGCAGGCCTTGACGGGCACTGCTTTCACCTTGGATGTACCATGCCTCGGGGCTTCAGAGAGCCGCCCGAAGCGAGACGGTGTGGCCCACAGCTCTGCCTCTACCTGGGTGCCCTTATCCCATCCCTCAGGTCCCCTGGTTTTCTCACCTGTGAGATGAAGCCTGAAATAATCTCTTTTGCAAGTCTGAACCAATGCTTGTGAGTTGATCACCACGTCTCTGTACACGCACACAGTGGTCATTTTTATTAATTCTAGAACGTGACGATATTGTGACTGCAAGGTGATCACTGCTTAATTATGCGATTTTGGTTTGAGCTTTGAAAGCCAGTGCTTTCATACTCAGCCACGAAGCAGTCACACTGCCCTCACTCCCTGCTGCCTTCATGCCTGAAACGTTCTGGTTCAAGCAAGCACATCTTCAAAGCCAGAGACCCTCTGAGAGCCCCGTGAGCTGAGACAAGTCGCTTATCCCTCTGGGCCTTGGTTTTGTAAGCTGTACAGCGCGGCCAGTGCTTTCCTTGCAAGGAGGCTGCATCGGGCCTGACACAGCTACTGGGTCAAAGTCACTGTGGGTTCACCCGCGAGTGCTCTGCACCGCTGCATTGTAACTGGGGAAGATGGGGGCCAGGGACGCTTCCTGTCCTACCCGGGGCACGCTGCTGCACAGTCGGCAGAGGAGCGAGGCCCGAGGCCCAGCAGACCCCGGTGGCTCTGCAGGAGCAAGGCTGGAGCCCCAAGGTAGCAACGCCCCCTGCAAGGGACTGAGATGAATGGGCAGAGGCTGCCCCTAAGGCACTGGGCCGCTGCCTCCACATTCCCAGAGCAGGTGCTGATCCTGCCTGGCTTCCTTGCAGCACACCTGCGGCACAGGTGGCGGTGGGACACCTACTTCTGGCGAAACACGCTGTTGCCCTCCAGTTCTGCTTCCTCCTGGGTCTTCTCCACGCCACGGCCCTGCAGCCTGCGCACCCGCTCCTCGGGACTCACGGTGAGCAGCAGGACCAGGTCGGGTTTGAGCAGGTCCTCTGGCCACTGGTACACAGGGTGGTGGGCTGGGGGCAGGTGCTGCAGACCCCCACTCACCTCGGTGGCTATGGCGTAGGCGGCCGTGCTGTGCCAGTACCTGGGGAGAGGAAGAGGAGTGAGTTCTCCGTCTCCGGATGAAGTCAAGGTGCAGCCCGAGGACGCAGAAACCAAGGCTGCAGGCTTTCCTGGTCTTGGACGAATGGAAGAAATGAATCATATTTAAAACCTACAGAAGATAGAAAACAGCACCCACAAGAGTCGTAATGCAGGGGGCGCTCCACACAGCCACACTTGAGGAGAACGGCCAATGGCAGGAGAGAGGGTAGGGTCGCGTCCTTTTGGCCTGCGGCAGAATTCCTCTGTCTAGGCAGGGCCACTGCATCTGCTCAGCTGTTCCCTGCACTGGACAGTGGGCTGTGGCCAAGTGAAAATCCAGCAAACTCACGCCAGCCCCTTTGTTGTTTATACCTGCACTGGCGATGAGACCCACTTTCAGGGAGCCCCGGGCTGGAAGCCCCCTGTCCCCCCCAGCCCTCCAATTGCCTGACTGTATATGACTATCAGGCAGGGAGACGGACAGACCCATGCCAGCCCCACGGGGGTCCTCGCTGAGCAAAGTTATTCTTTCCAACAGTTAGCTGAAAAGATGCTTTGGGGAGAAGTTAAAAAAAAAAGGTACAAATCAAGTCAGCCCTTATTTCAAGATGCTGCGTGGCTCCCCCTGCCCGCAGGAGACTGTTGGGTCTCCCAGTGACACACAGATCATCCCCCCCAGCCTGTGCCAGGGCACTCGCTGGCTCGGCTCCAACTCCCTCCTCCTCCTCCGGCCAGAGTGGCAGTTCCAGCCAGCATGGGCCCTGCACTTCCCCCACAGTCCAGCTCCTGGAGGACCCCAAGCAGGCTTCATGGTCCCCGCCTCTGCTCTCAGCTCCCTCTGTTTGTGACTCCATAGCAGAACTTCGCTTCATCAGTTAGAACGAACTGTTACAAGTACAATTTCTTCAGTCTCCTCCACTATTTTTGAATAATAGAGTCTTCTATGTTTTCCAAACTCTGAAAATGGTATGCAATAAATGTTCTGTTGCAGAATGAGTGAGAACTACTTCATTTATCAGCCTGACCTAGGATCCTCCTGCCCTTTCTGTCCATATTCCAATTCTAGGTGACTAAATGCAAAACTTCTGACTTGATATCAAAGGATGATAAAGCACAAAAAATGTTTATGGGTAATTATAAATATCCCAGTGCAAATAGGTACCATCAACACTCATCTGTAACTTTGAGTCAATTCTTTAAAATCCTTAATGAATTAATTAATTATTCATTTGAGAGTCAGAGAGAGACATGCATACAGACAAAGACCTTTCATGTGCTGGTTCACATGCCGAGTGCCCGTAACACCCAGGACTGGGACAGGCCAAAGCCTGGAGCAGAGCCCAATCCAAGTGTCCCAATGGGTGGCAGGGAGCCGATTCACGTGAGCCATGCCTGCCACCGCCAGTGAGTACACGTGCAGGAAGTCGGAGCCCGGAGAGGCTCCAGTGTAGAATGCAGGTGTCGGAACCTCTGCTCTAGTCACCAGACCCTACATTCCTAAAGTCTTAACCATTCTAGGCTTGAATTACTTTCCAGGGGGTAAAGGACACGGTGCTGGCTACACAATAAATTCATTGCTGCTCGAACTAGGTGTGTGTTACCGTCTGCCACCTACTGCTGGGGACGCAGGCAGAAGTCATCTAAGTCGATATGGTCTCAGTGTCTATGCTGGAAAATGCAAATCATGCAAGCTTTATTTTCCTCTCATAACTGTTGCAAAAATACATCAGCTGTTTTTTAAAAACTGAATAAACAACTCTATAGCCTATTGCAGTAATAAGACAATAGCTAATGCTCACTGGGTGCTGGTTATAACTAAAGTTGCATCATTTCTAATTATGAATCCAGCAAAGGAAAGGACAAAAGTAAACTTTTCCTGTGGATCAGTCCTAATCCTTCCATGTCCTTGCCCACCTCCAAACGTGTGCTCTGAGAACCTCAGGCCCCTGGGGTGCACCTGGGCGCCTGCCTGCCTATCACCTCCCTGACTCCTGCCACTCCCGCCCTGTGCTCTCATCTTCTGCTGGGATGGATCTAGTTCCCCAACACCATTAAACCCAAGATGTGCTGGGTGAGATTTTCTTTTTCTTTGCACCCATGTTACAGCTGGCGCTGTGTTCTGGGCACGCTCCAAATCCATGGACTTAAAAACTCTGCTACAAATACAGCAGTTATCATCTTAATTTAAAAGGTCTTGATTGTAGGAAACCCATGAGGGAGAAATAGCTCTTTAATGGTAATAGGGGTGATTAAGTCGCCAACCTGTCCCATAATCACCGTCAGTGATTACCTTCTTCAGCTACAGAATGGGGTTGTCTAAAATGGATCTCAATAAAACCCTTAACCATGAAAAAGCCCACCAGACAACAAATAGCTGCTGTCTTTTTTCCATCTGACAGGTGACACAGTACCTCTGAAGATCCACCGTGCAGACAATTCACAGAGACAAAGAAGACAAAATCAAGGGAAGAATGAGGGCTGCTCCCACTGACAACAGCGCTGCTCCTTCTAAATAATCACACCCTTTGGCCATCAATTCCACACTCTTCCCGTTCTTCAGTCTTCCCCGACGCTGCCATCGGGAAGACCACATTAGTTCAAATCAAATGCCATTTGCCAACACAAGACACACAGCTTTTATACAGGTGCTTTATATTGCAATGGCGACTTGCTATTTTCCAAGCAGTTCCATGTGCATTCACACATTGGATGTGCCTCACTTATCCACGCAGGCAAAGAAGGGCTCATGCACAGCCCCGTTTATGGGTTAGGAAACGGGGAAGCAGAGGACCTCAGCTCCTGCCCCCTTGAAGGGAGGGGTGATGCTTCAGGACTTGACACCGTCCCAGGAAACAAGGGGTCTTCATGAGACCACCATTCTCCCAGAAACAAAGTTGCAGTGTCTCCCCTCTACATGAGGGGGGGCTGTATCTAAAAGGTGGACAACGACAGACGCACCGGGCACAGTAACATCAGGGCAGAAACATTCCCCAGGCAAATGTGTCCACAGAGGAAGAAGATGTCTTAGCTTTCTCAGTTCATTCTAGGGTCTTCAGAATGTGCCACCTGCGACACAGTGACTGCCACCCCCAAAGTTAAAATCACCCCCGGCCTCTTAACTGGGCCGACAGCAGCAGCCCCCAGCCCGTGCCCATGGTTTTCCTCCTTGGCCCTGAGCTGATGCACACTTCACTCTGCACGGCACACAGGGCAGCCCCATCATGGAGGATTTCAGACACAGAGAGAAGCTCACAGACCAAGACAGGACTCCAAGAAAGGAGTTGCAAATTTTCCTCAAATAGTTTCAATCCACAGTGGGCTGAGTCCACAGATGCAGAACCCGTGGATATGGATGTGGACGTGGACATGGACGTGGGTGTGGACGTGGGCGTGGGCGTGGGCGTGGGAGGGCTGACCTTACTGTTGACAGCAGGAGAGTCCCAGCCTCTGCAGGAAGCAGAAGGGGTGGCTAATGGAGTGGGCGGGACTCTCATTCTTGATCTGGATACAGGTGTGTGAAGTCACTCCCAGAATTCCTTGAGGTTTACGTTTTAGAGTAACGCTCTTTTCTAAGTGTGTATCACACTTCACACCAATTACTTACACCTCCAGAAATAAGTAAAATTGTGGAGAGAACAATCAGAAGAACACTCCAGTCATGCTACGAATCATCCAACCAGGACCAGGACTGACGCCTTCCTGGAGCCTGCATGGGTCACGTTTCTCTCAGCCTCCCCAGGGGATGTGCTGTTAAACTGGGGGGCAGCATCTTTTCACACCTCTCTGTCTGGTGTACAGGATTTCTCCATGTATTCCACGGAGTATCTTTCCGAAACTGGCTCTGTTTCTCATTCTGCCACGGCTTTCTACTCCGTGCACACCTGACATTTCACACCTCCTTACATTGCTGCACAGTCTCAATGGTGTGAACACGCCTGCACGGGGCCTGGCAACTGAACAGCAGCTGAGATGCTGCCCGGGACGCCCTCATCCCTTATCAGAGTCCTGGCTCCACTCCTGATTCCGGCTTCCACTAGAGTGCACACTGGGAGGCAGCAGGTGATGGCTCAGGTAATCAAGTCTCTGTCACCCACATGGGAGACCTGGAGTGAGTCCTGGTTCCCAATTTCACCCTGGCCCAGCCCTGGCCCCTGTGGGTGTCTGGGGAGTGAACCAGCATGTGAGAGTTAGTTCTCTCTCTCTTTCTCTCAAATTTGTAAACAAATAATAGATACATGTGTTTACATCTTTATAAAATATATCAGTATTAATTAACTCTTTCTCCCATTAGTGGGATTTTGGTTTTCCAATGTTTTCAGCCAAGTGAAGCGAGCCAAGCCTAGATAAACATTGATGGGTGTTTCCCCCATGGGTGGAAGCAACCTCCCCTTTGCTACAGTCCCTCAAGCTGCTGTCCAAGGAACTACCAGCATCTGTCCCCCACCAGCACCACTCAAGAATTCCTGTGCAATCACACGATCTCCACTCCTGGCTATTTGGAAACTTTTTAAAATGTTTACTTCATTATTTTCATCTACTTGAAAGGCTTAGAGAGAGAGAGAGGGAGAGAGAGAGAAAGAAATATCTTCCATATGCCGGTTCACTCCCCAAATGCCTGCAAACACCCAGAGCTGGCCCAGGCCAACGTCCAGAACCCAGCATTCCACCTGGGTGTCCCACGCGGGTGTCCCACCTGGGTGTCCCACCTGGGTGGCAGGTGCCCAAGCACATGAGCCATCATCTGCTGCCTCCCACAACGCACTAGCAGGAAGCTGGGTCAGAAGCCTAGCAGCTGGGACATAACCGACACGCTGATACATGACATACGCACCCCATGCAGTGGCTTAACACACTGCCCCAGGGAATTTCGGTCATCACCAGCAACCTGCTAGAAGGAAAACGGAATCTCTTTGTGCTTGTATTTTCCATGTCCCTGAGCCATGGTGATATTAAGCTCAGTATGACATGCTGGTCACACCGTTCATCCTTTTATAGAGCATTTTAAAGCTATTTCTTATCTGTCATACTTTAAACCTGTAAATCATGTCACGACACATCCTCATCTGAAAACACACAAAGGTTCCCATTGCACTCAGAGTAAAACCCGGTCTTTCCCACAACTAGCAGGCCTACGGGTCTGTCCCCCTCTTCTCTCCCCACAGCCAGCAGGCCTATGGGTCTCCCCCACCTTTTCTCCCCACACCAGCAGGCCTACGGGTCTGTCCCCCCTTCTCTCCCCACAGCCAGCAGGCCTATGGGTCTCCCCCACCTTTTCTCCCCACACCAGCAGGCCTACGGGTCTGTCCCCCCTTCTCTTCCCATTCCTGCAGAAAGCACCCCCATCCACCATGTGTCTTAGTGTTTTCTTAGAGTCAGAGCGTAGTCTGACTGAAGCACAGTTGTGTCCCTGCATATGCACGCTGTGTGCACACACGCACACACACGCACACACACCCTTGTATGTTGGGGAGGAAACCTCTGACTCACGGCATCTTCGTACATACCTGTCTACGATCACAGGAGATTTGACAGATTCTTTGGCTATTTCAGAGGCCACAATATAATTGCCCAAGGAGTAGAAAGCTCTCCTAACGATAGTTGGTTCATCATCGAAGATCTTCCGCCACTGGCCAATGCAGGAGGGTGGGGACTTCAAGAGGACAGCCTTGAGGGCATCGGAAACCGCCTGGGTCACAGTGGTTTTACCTGCAGGCCGAACACACAAGATGGTGCCTCTTAACCACAGCCGCCACAGTGCTCCCAAAGTCACCAGACCTACAAGGGGCACAGAGAGCCTTTCACCTGGAACTCAAAGGCCGACTGCACGCCTCGCTTCTGCGTAAGGCGTTGCAGGGCCTTAACAACATCAGCCTGCTCTGCTCGGGATCTAAGGCTAACAGCCCCCCGTTGGTGAGTCCATGATGTCAGAGCCCTCTAAGGCCCTGCTTTTATTCCCAGCACAAGCGTCTGGTCACCTGTCTCACAGCAGCCCCCACTGGACAGCCTGCCCGCCTCTTCCGCCTGCAGCTGACTTTGAGGAGAAACCCATGCCTGCCTTGCAGCACTCTCCTAGCCCCCTCCTCTGCCAGCATCACAGCCCACTTCCTCCTCTATTCAATCCCTTTCCAATCGTCAACCTCAGTTCTACAAGGAAACGTCAACAAGTTTGTGGAAAAACAAAATTACATGATAGGTCTATTTTGGTGCAAAAAGGTTGAAATCTGTGCACAGGTTTTTTTGTTTGTTTTTCGCATATGTACTTTTCATGATCTTTTTGAAGAACCCCTCTTAGTACTTTCTCCTGTTCTCAACTCTTTGAACCTGGCCTTTCCAGCTTCTACACCTGGCCTTAGGCTTCAGGTTCCTCCAGGGAGCCATGAAAAATGTTTGCTCATTCATTTGCCCATTCCTCACCTCAGCCACCTCTCTAGGCCCATCTCACCCTCTGGCTGCTCCCTGGCACACAGCGTGGGTGGTGAGAGTGTAACCCGCTCCAGGGACACTGTCTTCCGGCTTTTCTGGGCTTCTGCTGTTTAGCCATCATTGTTTGTCTCTATAGCGCACTTCAACCTCATCCCAAGCTGATGATTGCTTTGATTTTTTGTTTTTCTTGAGTGGGTGAGATGAGCTAGGCACTCGGCCCATACTGTGCATCTGATTCTCCCTGTGAGTCTGCAACACAGTTACTATTTAACCATTTTTCAGATGGAGAAAAGTAGCCATGCAGAAGTTAACACACCTGCGCAAGCTCGCCCTGCTGGGGGCCCTGTAGCCAGAATGCAAACACGCAGGAGACGGAGTCTCTGGTCTCGACTCTCCTCTCACCAATCCCTCCCTTCTGCTTGAAAGTTGTGGGTGTTTGTGTGAGTCTGTGTTGAAGCTAAATTTTTCTCCTGTAATCCCAGGAGACCTGCATGAGCTCTAAGTACAAAATAATCAACAAAGCACATAGGATGGAGGATTGACATGGAAAACTCCTTTTGCGGTTGGAAAAAAAAAAAAAAAAAACACTGACTTGGTCACAGCGGTAGACAGACACCTCCTGGCCACTCCGATGGGTCCTGAAGCCCACAGAAGCAGCCCCCTGGGCCGCAGCCCACCTGCTTGTGCACACAGAGGCCCCACGTGGGAACTGCCTCTTCATGGACTGAAGACAAAAGCCCCTGCACCTGCGGGGCTGACACAGGCAGGAGGGGATCCAGGTGCTGGGCCCCACAGCCAGGTGTGAGGCAAAACCAACCTCCCATGGGTGTTCCCAGAGCCACACTTCTTCTCTCGTGCCCTCCTGTAAGTCTGGGCGCGTCCATTCTATCTGGACGCCTGCTTGACAACTCAAATTTTTCCCCCTCCATTATCTCATTCTTCCACATTTTGCCTGTGAGCTGCTGGGCCTCTGCCTGTGCCAAGTGTTCCGTCTGGAGCACCCCCACACCCCTCACCTGGCCAACCCCAATCCACGCTCTCAGCACAGTCTGAGGATCAGCCTGGCCTTGCATTCTGCCTCCATGGCTCCCGAGGAGGTGGACTCAGGGCCCATCCTGAGTCCCTCAGGAGCTGGTAGGCTCCGAGCCTCGCCTTGCTCCACTCTGCACTCTTGCCCATCTCTGCTCCCCCGGGTCCTGCCCAGCTCGGCAGAGGCATACTGGAGGCTGAGACTAAAGTTCTGTTTTGCAAGAACTATTCCTACTTCAGCCAGTACGCAGTTAGCGTCATTACCCATCACTACAAAGTAATAGTCTCTTACCAGTGGCATCCAGTCCCTCGATGGCGATAACCTGGAACTTTCCCCTCTGGACATGCTGGGGACACTGGTCAACCAGGCTGAGCACAGCCCGGGCCTCAGGAATGACAGGTGTGCACTGGAAAGCAACAGCCGCCTGTCAGCAATGAGACTCTGGGGCCTTGCAGGAACATCTCTCAACGGCTGAGCCCAAATGCAAAGAAGGCCTGGGTTTTCCTGCACACGGTGCCGGGCGTGTGGAACGCACAGTATTCTGAAGCTGGCACAGCCAGCGTTCCTTTATTTTATGAGTAGCTCGGGCCCAGAAAGGCTGTCTAGCTACCTCGCAGCCTGGGCTCTTACTGACCAGCTTCCCAACCAGGAGCAAGGCCAAGCAGGCCAGGTAACACAGCTCTGGGCACCGCAGCGTCAGGGCCCACAAGTCTGCCTGAACAGGGAGTCACAGGCATGGGGCGCCTCCCACACCATGGGCTCTATGGAGCTCCATTTGCACCTGCAACCCAGCCCTCTCCAAAAGGCTCAGGGAGCAGGGAGGGGCCAGCCCACCTCCAGGAGCTGGCAGAGCACGACACTCCCCGGAACTCGCGGCTCCAAGCTTGCATTACCTCACTGGGAGCTCACAGCAGCCCCAGAGAGCCCAGTGGCTTATTTATTTATTTGCTGATGTGCTCACTCTGAGCAAGGCAATCTCCTTAGTGCTTTAGGAGTGTGGTGCTGGCTGATCTCCATGGTAACTCTAGAGCAGCCCATGACTCCCAGCTCAGGAATTAAGGAAACTGGGACAAAGAATGTTGAAGAAACTCGGTGACGATGACACAATGACCAAATACCAGGGTTTAGAGTCAGGCCAAGCAGCTGACCCTGTATGGCCACCCACCCTGGAACCCTGACCTGTGACCTTGCAAAGTCTATCTGTGTTCCATGGGGCAGCTGGGCTGAGGTCAGAGGCACCTATTCCTCCAGCACCTGCTGTTGAGTCATGTTTGTTTAACCATCTGAACAGCACGGCGAGCTAGGGACCGTACAGATAAAAAGGCAGAGGAGAAAAACAAAACTTATCATAGCTGAGTAACTTCCAGGAGGTCCCAGCCAGCAGGGAGGCAGGTCCTATGTAATGCTGTTTCTAACACCCCGAATTCGCTCATTCCCTCTGCGCTCCCAAGTCCCATCAGCAAAAAAACCTAGCGAAAAACAGGACTTCCTCCGCGGCCTCTTCACCCGCCAACCCGACCGTCGGTGTCTGTGTACCAAGCCTGGTGGCCCGGGCTCCACCGCAGGCTGCACCTTGCTGGCACACAAGAACCTCACCGGAGCCACAGCGCCTAACACAGAGCCTGGCACACAGGACGCCGTCGCGACTTACTTGTGAACGGCAATAAACAAAGCACCCAAGCAAGAAGCTCTGGAGGGGCCAGCCTCCCAGACGGCTTAGTCCAGCTCTTGGGTCTGGAAGGTGCAGGTGCCACGCAGAACACAGGGGAGGAACAGAACTCACCGCCTCCAGGACGTCCCGGGCGGCTGCCCGGTCTGGGAAAACAGCGGAGCTGGGCAGGTCCGGCACGGCGGGGTGCAGCGCGGGCTCGTGGGCTGGCACCACCCGCGCGCAGCCCACCTGCCGCTGCGCTCCGTCCTGCAGCGCCCAGAGGCGCTGCCACAGCCCGCCGTGCCGGTCCACCTGGAACTCGCCCAGGTGCAGAAGCGCGGCCCCCGCGCCCTGGCCCAGCAGTTGGAGCAGAGCGCGCCGCGTGTCGGGACCGTCCCTGGGGTCCTGCAGCAGGAAGCCGTGCTGCGCGCCGCCGGCGGGGCCCTCGGGGCAGTAGCAGAGGAGCCTGCTCAGCCGGCACCGCTGGAAGGGGCCCCGGCGCAGCTGCAGCAGCAGGCGCTGAGTCAGCCGGGCGGCCCGGACGCGCTCCCCGCAGCCCACGCCCGCGGCCAGCGGCACGCACAGCGAGTAGCTGCGCCCCGGGGGTCCCAGCAGCGCTGCCAGACGCGGGTCCGAACGCAGGCCGGGGGCGTCGGCGCCCAGGGCGAAGTGCGCCAGTGTGCAGTCGGGGAGTTCCAGCGCGAAGCACCGCGGCGGAGCCATGGCCCGGGCGCAGGTCCCGTGCCGCGCGTGCAGCTGCCCTAAAAACTGTCCGAGCAGAGGCGGGGCGGGCGCGCGGCGGGCGAAGGCCATGGGCGCCTGGCCGATCCCGCCCTTGGCTGCGCCGCGAAAACGAAACCTGGCGAGGATGGGTGGAGGGCCGGCCCGGGGGGAAAACGAGAGCTAAGAGCGCGGCAGGGCCTTGGGTCTGTGGCGCCCCGCCCAGATTCTCCTCCCGGGCGCCAGATCTGCGCCGTAAACAGCCGGCCCCGGGGGCCCTGGACGCGCGGGGCCGCCCGCCTGCGCTGTCCCTGGACGCCGGGTCCCAGCGCTGCGCGCACCCTCCGCCTGGGGCGCCCGCCTCAGCGGCGCTGCCCGCACTCTGGCTCCGAAGTTGGTGCCGTAGCCGGTCTGGTGCGGTCCGGAGCTTCGAGGCGGGGGGTGGCCAGGGGGCCTCCAGACTCCAGGTGGAACTCCGGCTGTACCGCTGCCCTGATACAGGGTGTGTGTGCGCGCGCGCGCGCGGCGGACGCGGAGAGACAGAGGGGCCACCTCGCGGGCTCCGGCTTGTCCTCCCGCATTGCTGCTCCCTCGTCCTTGGCCGGGCATTCGGCTTGGTGCGGCCACCTCGCTGACCGCAACTCTCCATACCCGCCACCTATGGCTGACCCTGAGCTTCTGCAGAGCTGCCTGACAAGGAGAGCTCTTCACAGGGCCTGGACCCTCAAACACCTGTGCCCTCCTACACCTGTGTCCGTCCTTCACTCACCTGTGCTCACACTCACCTGCATCATCATCACCCTGAAATTACCCCTCCCGCCCACTATGCCGATTCACCCAGATTGGCCCCTTGACTTTGCTTTTTACCCACCAAATTCAAGTCTCCTGCACGAATGCAAAATAAGACATGGAGCACGGAGCAGGACAGCAAGCCCTGGCGGCCACAAGCCAGGCTGCTACAGTGTTGCTGTCTTCCTGTGGCAGGGTCTGGCTCCCAGACTGCTGGCTTTACGGTTTCCACTTGCAAAAAACACTACCAAGCAGAGACCGGTCAGGCTGTGGCACAGCAGGTTAAGCCTCAGCCGGTGGATTTGAGTCCCAGCTGCTCCATTTCCAATCCAGCTCCCTTCTGATGTTCCTGAGAAAGCAGTAGAAAATGGCCCAAGTGTTTGGGCCCCTACATCCACATGGGAGACCTGGAAGAAGCTCCTGGCTCCTGGCTTCGGCCTGGATCAGCCCTGGCCTTTGCAGCCATCTGGGGAGTGATCCAGAGGATGGAAGATCTGTCTCTGTCTCTCCTCCTCTCTGTAACTCTTTTAAAATAAATAAATAAATCTTATTTAAATATTTGATAACCATGAAATAATAAGTATGGAATGGGCTATCAAAAACCGGAGCTGAAGATGCTTCTAGCTCTTTGATAACAAAATGGTTTTCATTCGTTCTGAGCCATTTGACTACTGCAGATGACCACGCAGTGGCGTTTTCACAGGTAAAGAGCCCAGGAGCGTAGCGTCTTCCCTAACTCAGTTCCTTAGGCTGTGCTGCGCGCCGCTCCCTGGGGCTGCCTGCCTGTGCCAGCCCCTCTCTGCTGTCCCAGTCCCCTGGGGCTACCATAGCCCAGCAGACAGCAGGCAGTGCATGTCTTCCAGGTCCAGGTGGCCAGAGTCTGAGGTCCAAGTGCCAGAAGGTTCTACTGCTCTGGAGGCCTTTCGTTGTAGCTTGCAGTCGGCCACCTCTGGCCACGTCCCCTCTTGGTGTGCACTCCTGGTGTCTACAGATCCCTGGTGAATTCGTGTGTCCAAACTGCCCCTTCTGAGGAGGACACCAGTTGGACCAGGGTCCAACCTAGTGGTCTCAGTTTAACTTGCCCCCTCGCTAAAGCAAAATGCAATCACATTCCCAGGAATGAGGACAAGGGGTTCAACCTACGAAGGGGGTGGGGGGCACACAGTGTAGCTGTCACCCTCCTCCCACAGTGTCTCTTCTGTGCTGCATCAGGTTTATTTGCATCCTAGGTCTTCTGCCCAGACACCCACCAGTCTATGCCCCTCCCCCACACACACAGTGAGCACTTGCAGGTAAGCAGAAAGTCTAGCTTGCTCCTAACTTGTTTTCTGAACCTGCCACAGAAAGACAACACGACACATGGCTTGCTAAAGGAGCCGTCACGTTGTTTTTAAATTGTAGTGACAAATACATACATGTAGACGTAGATATAGATGGTAGAGATACAGAGACGGAAAGAATGCTCTCATCTGCTGGCTCCCTCTCCAAATGTCTGCAATGGCCATGCCTGGGCTCTCCCTGAGAGAGCTGGGGACTCCATGCAGGTGAGGGCAGGAACCCAAACCTTTAGCCATCACTGCTGCTTCTCCCGGTCCATAGTAGCAGGGAGTTGGGGTCAGGATCCCAAACTAGTATCACACTGATTCCTGGCAGTGAGACAAGGGCATCTTCGCTGCTAGGCCAATGCCCAGCCCATCATACCTTTGCTTAAGTTTTCTTGTCCATTTTTACCCACTTCTGCCCTACAAGTATCTGAAAATTTATTGACCCTGTCGCGTGTAAGCTCAGTCAGTACTGAATGTGTACTGAGGATTCTGAAGTTACGGCATCCTGATTCGTAAAAGAAACATCTCCACTATGCTTTTGAGCTCCAATTTCAAATCCCTAGGACAAGGGTGCTGGTGGTCCCAGGTGGATGTGTACAGGAATAAGCTTGCCTGTAGCAAGCCCTCCCTTTGTGGGTGGGGAGGAGAGGAAGCCAAGCTGGGAGCTGCTTCAGGGAGGTGTCTTTGAATGAAAACTAAGTTGAAAAAAGGTAAGACAAGAAAAAGAAAATGAGCAAACTTCACAGCAAAATGGATGAGTCTCTAACAAGGAGGAGCAGAAGCTAGACACCTAAGAATTCACACCGTGTGACCTCGTTCTTATAAGCTCCAAAAAGGCCACCCCAGAGCTTGGTTTGGGAAGAGAAGATGGGGTTCCCTTCCAGGCAGAGGTGGGCTTCAGCACTTGGGGCAAGATACGTGGCAGCTTCAAGGTCCTGCCAAGGTCGTGTCTGGATAAAGATGATCGCTAGGCCGGCGCCGCAGCTCACTAGGCTAATCCTCTGCCTTGCAGCGTCGGCCCACCGGGTTCTAGTCCCGGTCGGGGCACCGGATTCTGTCCCGGTTGCTCCTCTTCCAGGCCAGCTCTCTGCTGTGGTCTGGGTGGGCAGTGGAGGATGGCCCAAGTGCTTGGGCCCTGCACCCCATGGGAGACCAGGAGAAGCACCTGGCTCCTGGCTTCGGATCAGCACAGCGTGCCGGTCATAGCGGGCATTTGGGGGGTGAAACAACGGAAGGAAGACCTTTCTCTCTGTCTCTCTCTCTTACTGTCTAACTCTGTCCAAAAAAAAAAAAAAAAGATGATTGCTACAGATCCATGTTCACTCTGAATATTCACCGTAGTGATGAACTGTGCGCGTCTCCTTTGTATATCAGGTGTTGGTAAAAGACACACGGAAGAAGCAACAGGATGGTTGTCCTGAAACAGACTCAACAGTACATGAACTGTTCAGCCTGGGGACCCACACTGGGGCCAGGGGGTGTGTTTCACATGGAAAGTCCCTGGCTACAGAAAATGAGGAGGACGTTTAGCTGTTTAGCTCTCGTGATACAGTTGCTTTCAAGAGACCACCTCCTCCCAAGGAATGCAGAGCCAGAAAGAGCAGCCTTGGCCTCCACCTTGATCCACCCTCATCTTGGACAGTGGCGAGGGAAGCCATCCATCCCTGCCTGGCCTCTGCCCTGCAACGTTGCTCTCCTTCCCCAACCCACTGGGAGCTGGAGGTGACTGAGAAGAACAGGGCTTGAGCACATCCAGCAGCCTTTGTCCTCTTCATCAAAGGGGACCTGGATAATATCTTAGGGAAGTTTCTAGAAACCAGCTGTCCTTGCCAGGCCTGGCCTGGGAGGTGTGTCAAGCAGTAGGTTTGCAAATCTGACAGAAGGTCTTAGCTGTATATGGAGGCCTTTAGTGGGAATTTGTGGCTAGAATCTATTCTGTGGCATTAGGGCGTTTGCCTTAGAAACCTCAATGAGTTCCAAAGAAAGTCTGCTCTGGAGTTCTACCCTTAGATGGCAGGGGAAAGAGAAGTTACAAGGGAATAAGCCTGTGCTCAAGGAAGACCATCACAACTGTTGACCTCTGTGAGCTCTTAACGAGAGAAAGAACCAGTAAAGGAATATAAGGAACTGATCTAGCTAGAGTAGACCTAGGCAATTGTAATCAAGTAATGCCATCTCAGCGGTCAAGTACTGAGCAGCACTGCAAGTGTTAAAACCCGCTGGGGCCAGGGCTGTGGCATAACGGGTAAAGTTGCCTCCTGCAATGCTGGCATCCCATATGGCCACCTGTTCGAGTCCCTGCTGCTCCACTTCCAATCCAGCTTCCTGCCAATGGCCTGGGAAAAGCAGCAGAACATGGCCCAAGTGCTTAGGCCCTGCCACCCATGTAGGAAACTGGGAAGAAGCTCCTGGCTCTTGGCTTTGACCTGGCTCAGTCCTGGCTGCTGCAGCCATCTGGGAAGTGAACCAGCAAATAGAAGATCTCTCTCTCTCTCCCCCTCTCCTCTCTAACTCTGACTTTCAAATGAATAAATAAATAAATCTTTTTCAGAAGTCTCTACTCTCTGGGTAGCGTGAGCAATGCCAGACCCACAGCTACATGTATGCTAGAGATTTCTAACACACCATGCAAGCACTATGCTCCGCACTTAATAAGCATTATGCTACCTAGTTTCAAAGTATTTATGTGACTTGACCATTATTATCTGTATTTCCCCGATGTAGTTGCAAGATCAGACAGGTAAAGAAATGTACCCCATATTATACAACATTGTCTGAACTAGGGATTAACTCAAAGTATTTTGCTGGAAAAAAAAAAAAAAAAAAGCCTGTGCTACGGTGGCGAGGTTTGCTTTCAGTTTCCTTGCTAAGTGAAGTGAGTCATCGCTGTTTCCATTCTGAATGGGAAACCGGTAGAATAACAACAGCCAACTCTCACTGAATACTGGAAGTTCGCCAAGCATCTGCAAGGAAGCATTTTCACTGTTTACAAAATCACAGGCGCCGTCAGCTTTGCTGATGGGGAAATGGGAGTCCAGAGAGGAAAAATAAATCACCCAAAGTCCCAAGCCGAGGAGCGCCTTGCGGGATCTGGGGCCCCAGAATTCACCCCTTGGCACTGTGCAGGTTTCTGCAGGTCTGGGGAGGGCCTGTGACCACTGGCATGAGCCCCACTGTGGCTGAAGAGGAGGACGATCTCAGTGCAAAATTCAACAAAGCTTTCTAAGAAAGCTGTAAGACCAAATACCACCTGCTGTGATGTAGCAGATGAAGCCCCCACTCCCTGCTTCCGTGGGCTTGCCGTTTCCATATCGCACACGTGAGCAAGGTCACACACTGTGTTTTTCCACCAGCTGTATCTCATGTTCATAGTGTCCTCCAGGTCTGTCCATGTTCCTTCTTGTATATGGCTGAGTTGGATCTCGTTGTGCGTATATGGCTGTACCGTTTCGTGTCGTGTGTATAAGGCCGTGTAGTACTCCATTGTGCGCATTCCCCCCCCCCCGCCGTGTCATCTGTTAATGGACTCTGAGGTTGCCTCCACGCCTGACTGTTGTGAATGGTGCAGAGATGGATGTGGGGTGCAGCTGTCCCCTCCTCACACTGATCCTCTTCACTTCCTCTGGGCACTGGCTCCTGTAGTGCGATTGCCGGATCACACCGTGGTTCTGCTTATTGGTTTTAATGTTGTGTTCCCCCCAAGGACTCGCCCTATGTGGGAGGAAGATGATACAAGTCAAACTCGCCTAATCCAAAAATCCAAACTGCTCCAAAACATGGAACTTTCTGAATGCTGACATGATGCCACAGGTGGAGAATCCCACAGCGTGACATTTTATTTCCCATGTGAAATTACTGAAAGTATCAAAGCAAGACTGCCTTCGGTCTAGGTAAATAAGGTGCATATGCAACATCAATGCATTTTGTGGTTAGACTTCGATGGCATCCCCAAGATACCTCCTTATGTTTATGCAAATAGTGAAAAATCCCAAATCCCACACATTTCGGAGAAGGAACCTGACACTGCATCCCCAGTAGCACAGCAAGCATAGGGCAGCTTCATCTGTGCAGCTGCATCCGTCTATGGCAGATGTAGGGGGCAGCTACCGATGAGTGTCATGTCTTCCTCCACGGCTCAGCCGGGTTACACAGAGGGCTCCTGCGCATGGAGCCAGGCAAACAGAGAGGCAGCAGCAGCCCGAGTCCTAGAGCCTTGGTCTTGGCCGTGTTCCAACTTTCATTTTCAGGAAGAAGAAAACCGAAACTCAAACTCAGCTGAGAGTTAGCCAAGGAAGGTGTGCTCCGCCCCCTGTGACAGGATGCTCAGCCTCATATAAGGTGAGTGAGTGAGTGTCCGGGTGGACAGAGTAGTTCCTGCTGCAGGGGCCACCATGTGGATTCTCGAGAGCACTGCCTCCGCGGGGAGGTTGCTGAGTGCGTTCAGGTGGTCTCTGGACTCCCTGTACAGCAACTTGGCCTCACTCCTGTGCTGGCTGAGGGCCACCCTTTCGTTCCCAGCTGCCTGGAAGGCACAGAAGCAACAGGTTAGAGAAGGACCTGGGGAGACCCCAGGGCAAGAAGAGGAGGAGGACAGCGATGTGCCCACCACACCCATGAGCGTCAACTACCACTTCACCCGCCAGTGCAACTACCGGTGCGGCTTCTGCTTCCACACAGCCAAGACGTCCTTTGTGCTGCCCCTCGAGGAGGCCAAGAGAGGGCTGCTTCTACTCAAGGAAGCAGGTGAGTCCCAGCCAGGGAAGACAGGAGGCTGCTGAGCCCCAGGGAGTGCAGTGGGACAGCAGGGCTCAGGCATGCAGTCTGGACAGCTGCTCCAGGTCAGTGAGGGGCTGTTCCCGCTGTGGGCGAGATGCATCCTCTAAGGGGGGGAGGCGGGCTTACGGAGGGCAACCTGGTCTCCCACGTCGCACAGCCGGCTTGGCCCGGAGTCAGCCTGGGTCGCTCGCCCCCCTCCCACCTCTACTTACAAGCAGTGGTGCCTGCCCACTTCACAGCACTTGGAAAGAGGCAGTTTGGGGAGATTGTGCCACTCTCTGACTCTGTCCAAACCGAAAATGGATCTGGCTGTTCCAGACACAGCTCACTAGCAAAGTTGGAAGTAAACGCCAAGCAGAGACAGCAGTAGTGTGGCCAGTGTTGTGGCACAGTGGGTGGGGCCCAGGCCTGCGATGCCAGAGTCCCATACGGTTGCAAGTTCACGTGCCAGCCGCTCCAAGTCCCATCCAGCTCCCTGCTCATGGTCTGGGAGGAGTGGCGGAAGATGACCCAGGTACTTGGGCCCCTGCTGCCCCCTGGGAGGCCTGGAGGAGGCTCCTGGCTCCCAGCTTTAGCCTGGTGCAGTGTAGCTCTGGCTATTGCAGCCATCTGGGGAGTGACCCAACTGATGGAAGATCGATTTCTCTCTGTCTCTTCCCCTCTCTCTGTGGCTCTGACTTTCAGATAAATTGTTTTTTGAAAAGGACAGCAATAGCTGAGTCTTTTATTTTGAATTATGTGCATGCTCTTAATTTGAAAATTTTAAAACGTACTTCTAACAAACGTGTCAGACTTTGCTCTCAAGATTGTTTACTGAGCGGGACCCCATTGACAGTCTGCAGGCATTCGGTGAGAGCCCAGCCTGTGAAATTGTTTTTAAAGTTTTACTTTATTTATTGAAATTCAGAGTTACACAGAAAGAGGAGAGGCAGAGAGAGAGAGAGAGAGAGAGAGAGGGAGAGAAAGAGGTCTTCCATCCATTGGTTCACTCCCCAGTTGGCCACAATGGCTGGAGCTGTGCAGATCCGAAGCCAGGAGCAGGAGCTTCTTCCGGATCTCCCATGTGGGTGCAGGGGCCCAAGGACTTGGGCCATCTTTGACTGCTTTCTCAGGCCATAGCATAGAGCTGGATTGGAAGAGGAGCTGCCGAGACTAGAACTGGTGCACACATGGGATGCTGGTGCTTCAGGCCAGGGCTTTAACCCACTGTGCCACAGCGCCGGCCCCCAGCCTGTGAAATTAGAATGCAGCATCTTCCTCTCGAATCTGTTCTTCCGTCCACGTTCAGCTTCTTATCCTGTCCAGAGCTCCTCTGCAGCTAGCCCTGGGCACCCAGCAGGCTGGCGTCCCACCACCACCCTGCTCAGTGGCTGGTCTTCCAACGCAGAGTCCATGGGAATGAAACCACGCAGGGTGCCCCGATTGGATCTGGCTGACGGGGTCCCACACGGCATCCACGTAGGGGCCCACGGTTGATCCCTCAGGCAGAAACCTGCTGCCTTAGGTCTTTGCCCGCGGTGTCGGTGTAGGTCAGGTTCATCTCCATGCCGCTGCTCTCTTGTTAAAATATCATTGTGATCATTTAACTCCCTGCTAACTCGGTCACATGGCTTCTCAGACTCACGTGCTGCCCACAGGCCGTTGGCAAATTTCAAGTGCAGCCTTCAGCTTGGCCCACCGGTGCCTTCTGACAAGTGGCTTCCTGTTTTGCAAGTCTCTGAGTCACCTCCCTGTGCTTATGTCTTCCAAAAAGTCTTCATCTGTGTAAGGAAGTGCCCTGAGTAGACTGTTAGACAGTGGTGCATATCTTTCAGAAAAGGAAAAAAAAAAAAAAAAAACAGCACAGCACCCTCCTCATCCCCCTTGAATTCAAACGAGCAGCTAGGGTTGGGTCGGGGGACGACACTGAGGTGCTTCCGTCATCTGATTTATTACATTGAGAAAATAAGAAAATCAGGGAGGGCGCCTGGGAAGTGGACACACTGACGTTTCGCCCTTCCCAGGGATGGAGAAGATAAACTTCTCGGGCGGGGAGCCCTTCATCCACGACCGCGGCAGGTACCTGGGTGAGCTGGTGCGGTTCTGCAAGGCGGAGCTGCGGCTGCAGAGTGTCAGCATCGTGAGCAACGGGAGCCTGATTCGGGAGCGCTGGTTCAAGGACTACGGTGAGCCCCCGAGCGCAGCGCCCGCCGCCTGCTGCCTTCTTGTGGGTGTCTCCATTTCCTACTGCTCCCTCAGGGCCTGAGGCCAGACCAGCTGGGCAACTGCAAGGGGCGGATGACCCTCTCTGCGAGCTGTGCGTGTCTCTGTGGCACTGAGTTCTGTGGGGCTCCGAGCAAGGGGCGGGGCGAGACGGTGAGCCTGTGCGTTGAGTGTGCAGAGCCAAGGACAAGCTTAGCTGCTGCTGGGGGAAGTTAACACATTTGACTTCTGTGGAACTAAATACCTCTGTGGGAAGCTGGGCTGGACCCGAGACCTGTGGTATCAGAGCCTCAGGGGGTGTGGATTGGCCACTTTGGGGGGATTTCATTGTGCATTCAGGGTCATAAATCACTGGATCCTAAGATTGCTGAAGCCCCCTGAGAGCTAAGATTCTAAGATTCACATCCGTGGCTTGTCCTAACAGCGATACTTGGCATTCAGTAAGCAACGGGAAAATGCTAGCTGTCATCTCAGGACACAGTCATACAGAACGCTTGACAGCTCTCCGTGACCTGATGTCATATGAAAGTGGGCATTTGTGACCTGCTGAGAGTGTTGCTAACAGAGCCTTGGTCAATGCCCCTTGACAATGGTACAGAAATGGAAGCGTGGAAGGGGAGAGGTGGCAGGCACGGGTAGGACCTTGCATCAAATGAAGGGAGATTGAACCCAGGAAGACGACAAAGCACCAGTGAGCTGTCATCTGTGACACAGGGCACAGGGTTCAAAGGCGAGCTTTGGGAACCCGAGGCAGAGAGACAGGAGGAAGAGATCTGGAGGTGATGTGGCCAGACGCTGGAGGGAAGTTTCCTGAGTGTGTGCCTGGGGAATGCGCTCGGTCTGAGGCAGGCTCTGTATGCCGGCTGCACTGCGAGAGGCTGGGGCAGGTGAGTCCCCACACGGCACGGTCAGAGCTCAGATGCCTGAATGGCACACAGGTCAGTTAGTGAACTCGGAGGTGGCTGAGAAGCCCAGAGGCACGGGGAGGGACACAAAAGGAAGTGAGAGGCTCATGGAGACCACACCCTTTTTGGAGTGGTCATTAGTGGTGACATTGCCCAAATGTGACGTTGCCCAATTGCAGTTAGTTTCAAGTATTCTGGGGTGCTGTGAGGAACAACCGCAATGTCGACCTGTGCCTGTGCAGTCCCTCGTCCTCAATTCCCCACTCGTGTGGGTGTGACAGGAGCAAGAGCTGTTCGGAGCCCCCACCACTGCTGAGGGCTTGTTAAGTCACTGGACGGCCGCAGAGACTCAACCCTCATGGCTCTTATAAGCTGGGGCTTATGGGCAAAGAGGCTACAGAGCATGTGGGCAGGGTGCACACAAGCTCCACCCGGGAGGCGGGACAGGTGTCCCCCACCACACGCCACGCAGGCTCGGTGGACTGCAGGGACCTGGCTGAGATGGGTTTCTGCAGGAAGGCTCCTTTGGGTTTGGAGGTCTGAGGCATCTGCCGAACCTGTCACTCAGGCACGTGCTGCTGAGGTACCAGTCACTGTCACCAGACCCCTGCAAAGCACAGAGCATCAGGAATCTTGCTAAACAATCCTGACAAGTCTGGACGAGTTCACCCAGTGTGCTCTCATGGCTCCAGGCTTACACACACAGCACGACAGGGTCACAGAGAGTGGGGCAGCAGCCGTAGACACAGGAGTCGGTTCCAGGCTCTTCTGGAAAGACACGAGGAGTGACTGAGCAGATCTGTTCCTCATGACAGCATTGACTACAAGCTGAGAACAGGAGGGGGCTACCACAGACACAGCGAAAATCAGACAGGTGGCAGAGCGTAGCCCTTGGTTAGAGATTCTTCTGGCAATCAACTACGTAGGCGTTAATGCAATGGATGGAGCCTGAGGATTCCGCTTTGAATTCTGGGGGCTTTGGCAGAAACTGTATTCAGTTAGTGACTTCTTCCCACTATGATATGCCACGAGGAATTTACTTGAGCTCTTTTTTTTTTTTTTTTTTTTGGACAGGCAGAGTGGACAGTAAGAGAGAGAGACAAAGAGAAAGGTCTTCCTTTGCCGTTGGTTCACCCTCCAATGGCCATTGCCGCTGATCTGAAACCAGGAGTCAGGTGCTTCCTCCTGGTCTCCCATGGGGTGCAGGGCCCAAGCACTTGGGCCATCCTCCACTGCACTCCCGGGCCACAGCAGAGAGCTGGCCTGGAAGAGGAGCATCCGGGACAGAATCTGGCGCCCTGACCGGGACTAGAACCCCGAGTGCCGGCGCCACAGGTGGAGGATTAGCCTAGTGAGCCGCGGCGCTGGCCTTGAGCTCAACTTTTATAACATTTTGAGTTGTTTAAAATCACAGTCTGTTGCGTTATTCGGGCACTCGTTTGTGCTAGATGCTCTAGGGGCATATGTTGCATACAGGGAACATACAATGAACCTCCTAACAGGAACTGAAATTACTCCAACTATAAAATTAGGGAATGATTCCTCTTTTTTTTATTTTTTTGAAGATTTAGTATTTATTTGAAAGACAGCGTAACATAGAGGGAGAGAGAGAGAGAGAGATAGGTCTTCCATCCTCTGATTTCTTCCCCAAATCGGCCAGAGTTGGGCCAATCCGAAGCCAGGAGCCTGGAGCATCTTCCGGGTCTCCCACGTGGGTGCAGGGGCCCAAGGAGTTGGGCCATCTTGCACTGCTTTCTCAGGCCATGGCAGAGAGTTGAATCGGAAATGGAGCAGCAGGGACTCGAACTGGCACCCATATGGGATGCCGGCACTGCAGGCGGTGGCTTTATCTACTATACTTTTTGAACCCACAGATTCTATAATTTTCAAGTATTTTTTTAAGGAAAAAAAAATTCAGGTAGGAAAATCCAAATAACTTGGAAAACTGGAACTGAACCAAATATAAGGCATAACCCAGCTGAGTATGGCTGCCCCTGGGAGGTCAGTGGATGACAGGAAAACACAAAAGAAATGGAAGGAGAGCCAGGAGGAAGGCGCGTGGAGCCAACGTGACGCAATGGGGCAGGGAAGGTGGAATTAGAGAGAGTGCATCTTGTGCTCCTGGTGGGCCCGGTCACAGCCTGCACAGCGGCGGCCAGGGAGGGGCTGGTCCTGCCCCGCCGTCCTCAGCATCTGAGGCAGCTGCCCCTGACACAGTGAATGCTGACAGAGTGAGTCGAGGTTGCGAGAGGTGTTGGCAGACGCTCAGGAACCTGGCAAAATACTAGAGATCTCCTATGGCATATCTGTATCTGTGTGTTGGGGAAAGGAGAAGCAAACATTTAATCACTGATAGGAATGTCTGGAAGCTTCCCAAAGATGGGAAACCTTCAAAAGGCTCGTGGAAAATGCATGTTATGAAGAAGCTATGTGGCCGGCACCGCGGCTCAACAGGCTAATCCTCCGCCTAGCGGCGCCGGCACACCGGGTTCTAGTCCCCGTCAGGGCGCCAGATTCTGTCCCGGTTGCCCCTCTTCCAGGCCAGCTCTCTGCTGTGGCCCGGGAGTGCAGTGGAGGATGGCCCAAGTGCTTGGGCCCTGCACCCCATAGGAGACCAGGAGAAGCACCTGGCTCCTGCCTTCGGATCAGCGCGGTGCGCCGGCTGCAGCGCGCTGGCTGAGGTGGCCATGGTAGGGTGAACCAATGGCAAAGGAAGACCTTTCTCTCTGTCTCTCTCTCTCACTGTCCATTCTGCCTGTCAAAAACAAACAAACAAAAAAGAAGCTATGGGTGGATTTCAAAATATTTTGCACCTAAACAAGGTTGTTTTTTTTTTTTTTAAATCCTTTTTCCATGAATTTTTTGAAGTACCCTCATATCTACCCACTTGAGAAGTCACGTATTTTCTGCACAGGAATAACTGTTCTTAGAAATTCCTGTAAATCTATTAGTAAGGGTGCACGTGCATAATGTGAAGATTACAAATGCTCGGTACGGAGTCTCGTCATCTCACCGCGCGGATGACCATTCCAGATTATCTCACAGTAGCGCCAAGTGTAACTGGCAGCTCAGTGGGCCTTAGCGCTGTGAGGAAAGTGAAACAGTGAGATGGTCTGATCATAAAGTCCTTGAGACAGGCTTTACAGATGAGCCTTTTCCCTCAGGCGAGTACTTGGACATCCTCGCCATCTCCTGCGACAGCTTTGACGAGCAGGTCAACGTCCTGATCGGCCGTGGTCAGGGCAGGAAGAACCACGTGGACAATCTGCAGAAGCTGAGGGCGTGGTGCAGGGATTACAGAGTGGCTTTCAAGATCAATTCTGTCATCAATCGGTTCAACGTGCAGGAGGACATGAACGAGCAGATCAAAGCACTCAACCCCGTCCGCTGGAAAGTAAGTGTGCGAGGCTGCGTTTGTCAGCTTGCAGCCAGAGAACATTCCGGAAGGTGTTCCTTCCATGACATCACACCTAATGCCAATGCCGAGAACCGTGTCAAGAGGCCTGGATGGGGCCTGAGGGCTATGGCATCGGGAGATGTGACGACCACTCCCAGGGTGCTCACACCTCCCTCGGGAGCGCCCCGTAAGAACTCCCTGTGGTCAGAGCAGAGGCCAAAGGAGTGGGCGTGCAGAGGAAGCGGAGAGAGAAGACTCAGACGGGGGTTATCTGTTCCTATGCTGATGAAAATGACATCAGAGCAGTTCACAAGATGAGATGGACACAGTCCTATGCAGAACAGCCTGTCCACAAAGTCCCTTTGCACTCTAGGACCAGGGCTCTCTCTGGCTCTGTCTTGGGTCTGCTGACACCCAGTGTCAAGGGGGATGAATGACTCGGCTTCTCTGAGTTTTCCTTTTGGGTTGATGGTATTGCTCATGAAGGATTAACACGGTGCACACACTCACTCATGTGCATTTATTTTCTTAAATGAGGGCTGAAAAAGATTATTCACAGCTTTGGAAAATCATCCTTATGCATTAAGTGAAAAGTGCACACATTGTAGAAACTTTAATGAGAACTTATTAGAAATCAACAGAAACAACACAATATTGAAAATGCTTTTATTTTAGTTTTCAGATTACAAATAATTTTTATTTGATACATCTTAAAGTCCCTATTTTCTTCAACAAAAAGACAGTGTTTCATAGTCTTTATATATCCGAGTACAAGAGCAGATCAAACACATCAGTTTTTGAAAGTTTGTATTTTAAGACTGAGCTTCTAGATCCCACCAGGGCTGGCTCCCCTTTCCCCTGAGCGATCCTGATCGGATGCTCCTGGTTCCCAGGGTCTTCCCTGTTCACAGGAGGGGAAGCCAGCCTTGGGCGGAGGCGGGCCTGGGGTGACAAGCAACGGAGGCTCCTTCCAGACCAGCACTGCTCTGTCTTCCAGGTCTTCCAGTGTCTCCTGATTGAGGGTGAGAATTCCGGAGCAGATGCTTTAAGAGAAGCCGCGAGATTCGTGATTAGCGATGAAGAATTTGAAGGATTCTTAGAGCGTCACAAGGGCGTGTCCTGTTTGGTGCCGGAATCTAACCAGAAGGTTGTAAAACACAAACACTGCTTTGTTCGCCATCACACAGTCAGGTGGACTCCAAAGAGAAGGGTCTCTTGCCCTGGGTGTCTGCACAGTGGTGACAGAGTGTTCAGTGTTGGGAAGCAGGAGCAGGGCAGCCCCCAAGCCAGGCCCCGCTCTGCCACCTGTCAGCCGTGGGGTTTTCTCTGCACTGCGGCTTCTCTGTCCACAAGAGGCTGGGATGGCACCGTGGAGAAGGGTACTCCTCCGTGTGCTCTCTGGGCGTGGTGCATGTGAGGTCACCTTTACATGCTACGTGTATGAGACAGTGCCTACACACAGAAGGAACTCCGTGGTACCACCTGATACCAACATCATCACACTGTTCACTTGCATTATCTCCACAGCTAACGTTCAAGTTAAACAGATGGTGGAAAAATGCTTCATCAGCTCTTAATTTTCTAGTGTAATTGCCAAGTGTATATGTCCTATTAGGATGAATTTCATGCGTAGATTAAGCAGTGCGGGCCACAGCACGGAACGCCCAGGTGTTATCAGAGGCAGAGTAGATAATTAACGAACTCTCAGGAGATAAGGGAGAAGGCGCCTGTTCCTGCCACAGTGAAGGGATCTCCTTACATAAGACCTAAAATACAACTTTAAATTATGAATGGCATATGTTAGAATGTAAAAATTTAAAATATACATCACACACACCAAAAATATGAAAAGTAGAATTTCTCCTATGGTATGTATACTCAATTATATCAAATACAACATCATATATAAAAAGTTCTTTACGTCAATATGAATCTATTGATAGTAGCAAAGGAAAATAGGCAATGATCAAAAATTGATCATCTACAGAAGAAAAACAAACAGTGAATAAGTATTTTAGGGTGATCTGATATTATCAGTATTCAAAGAAATACAAATTAAATATGAAGCATGAAGACAGTGAGAGAGGCAATTTCACATTGGTGCATTGATAATACATCATTGCAGCTTTTCTAGAAAACAAATTGATAGCAGAGTAATAACTTTTAAATGTCCACATATTTTACTCTGACATTCCACTTTATTATTATTATTTTTACAAAATTTATTTGTGTATGTATTTGAAAGGCAGAGAGAGAGAGAGAGAGAGAGATAAGGAGAGATTTTTCATTCACTGGATCACTCCTCAAGTGCCTACAACAGCCAGGCCTGGGCCAGGCTGGAAGCAGGAGCTAAAAACTCCATTCTGATGTCCCATGTGGACGGCAGGAACCCGGTACTTGAGCCATCATCTGCTGCCCTCCCAGGCACAGTGGCAGGGAGCTGGATGGGGAGCAGAGCACCTAGTTCTCCAAGCGGCTCTCTGATATGGGCCGCTGGCATCACAGGCAGTGGCGTAACCCTCTGTCCCACAGTGCCAGCCCCAGAAATGCCACTTTGAAACATTGAAAGTCTCCAGCAGAGCAGAGCAGACAAGTATTTATGTAAAGGCTTCACTGAAGGTAACCAAACAGTCAGTAGATAAGGAACAGGTAGAGGTGTATGTTCACAACGTGACATCTATTCCCACTGAATAACGTATTTCAAGGAATGTTAAGTGACAAGGACAAATCCTCAGGAGCAGATATTAGATACAGATGAACAATATGGTGGGAGATTAGTTAGAATGTTAGTGCAACAACGATGAAGGCCATCACTCCGCCCCTTGTGTGTGCCCTGTGGATAACAAGTGGCTCAGGAGGCAGCCGTGGGACTCAAGATTAGCATAGGCCTGAGAGTCCCCATAGAGAGGGACTCAGCAAAAGCAATGCTCATTATATCTCCATATGTTCTTTGATCTCCCATTAACTAAGCTGGATTTTAAAATACCAAAGAAAACACAGCAGGTAGGAGGGACATGGCTCCTCCCTCTCCACCTCTTCTGTTAGGGGTTTTCTTTCTCATGCTCATTTCAACGTTATCTTTTAAACTCCAACTACTAAGCAGAGAATTTGGCCCTCCAGTGTGGGTCATAGGAGCCAGTTGTGCTGGAATCCTCTGGAATCTGCTTGCACACAGACCCCACCCCCTGAGGGTCACTTTGAAAGGCACCCGAGCGAGACGAGACATGTTGCAAGCAAACAGAAAGGCACAAAGGCACAGGCATTGCAAGACGGCCAGCTAGGGACACAGCCTGGGAAACGCACTGAAACCTAAACTTGTCTCTTATGTCTCCTTTGCAGATGAAAGACTCCTACCTTATTCTGGATGAATACGTGAGTATCTCTAATGAGCTATGAAATTATCACTTACAATTCATTAGGCAATAACGCTTGGGCTGAGTTCTGATGAGCATATCTCTGTTTTCCTTAGCTGGTATCCATAGTTTTCTAGTCAGTGGTTGTTAGTATGAAGGGACCCCGACATCACTGTGCCGGGTTCTGCACGCAGCAGTTCAACAGGCATCAGCCTGAATCCAGGCCTCTGGCTTTGCCCTGTCATGCCTCTGAGGTCGCCACCTAGAGCCCAAAATGCCCCACACAGCGCAGGCCCTGCCATACTGGAGTCTCCAGGCTACCTTGCGTGGAGTTGGCCTGTGTGTCACGTTATCCCGAATAACCAGGCACTGACAGCTAGTTCAGATTGATAAAGCTAGGTGGCTGGCAGCGGGGGGTTTACCTTCCCGCTGTGAACACAGCCGACAGCACGCCTAGCCCCTCTGCCTCCCAAGGGAACAGAACCTGGAGTCACAATGTTTGCCAGTACTTCTAGCACAGAACAAATCGTTCCATTCCAAGAGCTGCTTTTTATGAAATGAGAAATGGGGTCAATATTTAAATTGCATTCAGAATTCTGAGAACAGTGTCCCATGGGTTTTGGTATTTCATTATTTTCAAGATCCTCAAGGACAGTTTGCAGCCATTTCATTTCTTGTCCACGTGAACTTTCTTTAGGGAGTACAATGGGAAAGTGATAATGAAAATATTCAGTTGATGGGCTCACGGTGAGAGGGAAATTCAAAGAGTTTACTATTTAGAGTGCAAATGAACATAGTTGGAGCAAACCGAGTTGAGCCAAAGTTTGCTTATGCCAATTTAATAACTTCTTGATCTAACAAGTGAGCTCCCCCAAAAACGCTCAGCATAGGTCATAGGAAACACAAGCACACCATGTGGGGGCAGCTTCTGTACTTTTATACTACTACTCCCTCGCATTAAAAAAAAGAAAAACTCAGCTGTCAACATTTGGGGAAGTCTTTCCTGATGGCCCACCTGCGCCCTTGAGGGAGCAGGCACCCCAGGTGGCGAGTATACGGTTCTTCTTGTGCCTGCAACAGGTGGAGTGTGCCCCCGCAGCCTCCTCCCTCGGTGGGCGCACGAGCTCTGTGAGCGGGGGATGATGGCCGAGGAGCTGAGTATCTGGCCGCTAGTAGGAGTAAACACCTGTCTATAGACTTAGGTTAGCAGAACCTTTGCATGCAGACCCAGGGTAAGCGATACAGAGATAAACCAAGTTCTATCCTTGACCTTCCTAGATGCGTTTCCTGAACTGTAGGAACGGGCGCAAGGACCCTTCCAAGTCCATCCTGGACGTTGGCGTGCGGGAAGCTATAAAATTCAGTGGCTTTGACGAGAAGATGTTCCTGAAGCGAGGCGGCAAATACGTGTGGAGCAAGGCCGACCTGAAGCTGGACTGGTAGGGCGGCCAGCGGCACAGGACCTCACTCTCTCCGCAGCTGCCGGTCTCGGCGAGGTCCGCGCATCAGTCACGGGCGCTCCGTGAGCCAAGCTCCACGGGCGACAAAGGCGTGGGGCTGGCTTCTCAGCGTCCTGCTGCAAAGCACCTGCGCTTCTCAGTTTGGTTCATTAAAGGGGGAGGGGGACAAGACACAGCAACCAAAAAAAAAAAAAAAGTTTGCAAGAAACATGCTTTGGGCTTGCACGTTGAGCGTGAGCGCATCTTCGTCTCCTGCGAGGGCGTCCGTGCCTTTCTCCTCACGACCGAGATGGCAGCTTCCAAACCCGGGAATCTACCCCAGGGCCCTCTCCTTACTTCTGCTGCTTGCAAGTCTCCTGCCTTCCCACCGCGGCCGTCACCCGGGTGTAGACTACAGTTGGGAGCTTTTGGCGGGGTCTTTTCAGGTCCGGAGCGCGCGCCCGCCCGCAGGACGGAGGCGCCCGCCCGCGCGCTGAGCTGCGGCGCCCTGCTGGCCCGGACGCTCGTCCAGGCCACGCACGTCCGTCCCGCAGGAACCCGGGCTTCTCTGAGCCGCTGGCCGTCCCCACAGCCCCGACGGCGTCGCGGTCCCAAGAGGAGAACCGGCTCCCGCCTGCTCCCGTGCAGACAATAGAGCTTGAGAAGAAACGCCGCTGAAGTTTCGCAGGCTCTGTGTTCACGTGAAAGTACCTTGTTGCCTGGAGAATAGCAAGTGTTTGTCATTGTTTGGGGAAAAAAAACCAAGGTCAAGGAATTTTGTTGTTGCGGGTCCCAACTAAGACGAACTTTTTCCTCCTTGCAATGTGGGTGCCTGCCACTAGGGGGCGCGTTCTCCTCGCCTGATTTCCTTAAGCGGTGAAAATGCCCCCTTTCAGTCTATTTGCAAGACTTGGTGATTTTGAAAGGTTTTGAGTTTTGCGATTTTTTTTTTCTAGGAATAGATAAGCATACTTCAACTTTTTAAGACGCCCGAATTCAACTGAGATATGTTTGTGGCACAACCAAAATAGGGCATGTTGCGTTTTACCTACTTCCTCTTTTCTCTGGGTTTCGACAGTGCCACCTGCTCTATTCGCTGCACATCAACAAGAGGGCGAGTGCCACAGAGAAAGACCAGGTGTGCAAGAGGGCAGAGTCCTGGCCTGATGTGCACCCAGTGCCCCAGCAAGGCTCTGGGAACACATGGAAATCGGAAGCCCACGGGCGTTTGTCTCTAGTCCAGGGCACTGTATTTCTCTTTTCCCAAAATGAAACATAAAAAAAAAATTCACTAAAAGGGATTAGCTATTTTAAATATATTTAGAGCTATTTTAACAACTGCTAACCTCTAATTTCTTATGTAATGTTAGGATTTGCAAAGCCTTACTGTTTAACTTATTCTAATGCCCCTTTTTCTCACACAGGGGCTTTCAGCTTTGCAATAGAATTCAAGTTCAAAGTACATAATGTTTTGCTTTCTTTTTTTCAATGTTGAATATGGAGTTCCTTTGTGAAATATATTCCTTTTTATTGGTAAAACAAAGAATGAGTAAACTAAAGTAATTTAAGAGTTACAGGAAAATATTTTGTGGTGCTTGTAATCAATGTGAGTTTATACTATAATAAAGAGCGTGGAATTTTGTGTGGGGATCCTGGAAAGCTCAGACGTGAGTGATGACATGCTAGTTTGAAGAGTGCAAATCATGTCTGTAGTCTGGTGATCAGTGATGACATTTGCCTGTTTTCTTTCAAGTGTAGACAGAAGTGATGTCATTTGTCTGAATGGGTTAGCTCTGTCTGGAGCTTGGAGTCGAGATTTTGGGTAGATGGACACCAAAACAACCCACCAAAGCAGCCATAAAGCTGTCTCTGGCTTTAATTCCACCCTCTTGTTGCAAGGACCTTGTTTAATCAGCTGTGACTGGACCAGACCAATCATTGCTGCTGGATTTTAAGGCTGTGTCTACAGTGTGCTTTACTTTGTAGGGAAATACACACTTTTTTTTTGCCTATGTGGTGCTCTTTAGTATTGGCCTAATGTATTATAAGAAGTTCTAAAATATTAAAATATTTTTGTACACCACCTTCCGTCTCAGTGTCTTGATGTAATGAAGTCTCCTTGGTGTGTGTTTAAAGGAACTGTGTGCTTTTGCACACTGAGGCCACCATAGGGACGTGCACTTTAACACTCAGGGAGGTCATCAATAATCAGTGAATCCACTTTGGACACCCGCTCAGCAGCAGGGCTGGGTGGGTGAGAGTAAAGGGGGTGCCAGCACCTTGGGGGATGCAGGAGCCAGTCACCTGGTGGTCTCATACGCACCTAGTTCCTAGGGGGCAGTGATGACAGCACCTGGGCCTCGTGGGGCCTCAGGGGGGACCTGGTCAGTGGCCAGGACATGGAGGAGCTGCCACCCCAGTCCCCTGTGACACCTCAGGGTCCTGCCGCCGGCGTCCTTCTGCCAGAACTGGAAGGGCTGCTCTGACTGGGGGAAGTGAGGGTGGCTCAGATACGGCCAGGAGAGTTCCCCAATCGGCTTCACACAAGGGGGGGCAGGTGCCGTCCAGGAGCTGGCCTGAGGACCAGAGAAGGCCCAGGGGTGGCAGGGAAGCAGGTGGGGTGCAGAGATAGCAGCCGGGCAGGCATCTGGTGTCCCTGAGCGATCCAAGCGAGGGCAGAGCTGGGCCCTAGTCCGAGCGAGGGCAGAGCTGGTCTCCAGTCCGAGTGAGGGCAGAGCTGGTCTCCAGTCTGAGCGAGGGTAGAGCCTGGCCTCAGTCCAAGCAGACGCAGAACTGGTCTCCAGTCTGAGCGAGGGCAGAGCTGGGCCCAGTCCGAGTGAGGGCACAGCTGGCCCCAGTTTGAGCAAGGGCAGAGCAGGCAGCCCTGCTCCCTGGCTGCCCCTTCAACCCCGGACTCCTGTATGGCTGGGCCGGCTCTGCATTCTGCCGCCACCGGGAGTGAGCGGTGGGTGTGCCCTTCTTTCAGCCTGCACTTTGTTAGCTCTGGCAGCCACCTGTCCACCGTGAGCTCCAACTGAGGCTCTGACCTCCTCTCCTAAATGCACTCCTGTTTGTGGGTGTCAGGCAGGAAGTGTCCGTGCCCACCCAGGCTCTGTCCCCAGAGGACCGAGGTCCCCTGTGGAGCCTGAGGACAGCGAAGGAGACTCACGGGCCAGCACCAGTGGCTGTCACTGCGGGCGGGCGGCTGGCAGGGTGGGAGGCTGTCCCATTAGCAAGGCCCCTGTGAACACAGGTCCTCTCAGGCCAGGGAAGTCACACAGCACGCCACCCACTTTCTTAAGGTCAGGATAGCAAGTCCAGCTCAGACACCATTGAGACAAGTCTGAAAGACCGAAAGGATTTTAACAGTGTTTGTTTTTCTTCCTTCTAAAAAGCACACATTTGGAGAGGACTTGAAAAACAGAGTAAAGCGAAAACAAACGAGGTAACCGCTAATTTAGAACATGCCTTTCCAGTCTTGCATAACGTTTAATAGAACTGGGTTTAGACTCCATAATTTTATTTTCCAGGTACTATCTTCTGAATGTTTTGAAAGGCAATTAGCAGTAAAGAGAATAGCCATTTTTTAACGATTCACACTAATAGATGAGAAAACTTTCATTGGCATTAACGGGAAAAATCCACAATTCATTCAAAAAATTAGATTTGGTTTTTGATTCATTTCCCTGCTTAGGAACGTGAATGTATCACATGTCCTGGCATTCACTGTGTCTAATATATCCATACATACACATACTCACACATACAAACACACACATACACACACATACATGCACACACACACACAGCTCCTCTGGGGAGGTTCATTCTGTGAGGAACCTGAAAACTGTCCACAAGTGAACTTACATTTCTGGGCGCTGTGGTATAGCAAGCAAAGCCTCTGCCTGCAGTGCTGGATTCAATGTGGGTGTCGATTCAAGTCCCGGCCGCTCCTCTTCCCATTCAGCTCTCTGCTATGGCCTGGGAAAGCAGTGGAAGACGGCCTGTGTCCTTGGGCCCCTGCACCTGCATGGGAGACCTGGAAGAAGCTCTTTGTTCCTGGCTTCGGATCAGCACAGCTCCAGCCGTTGCTGCCATTTGAGGAGTGAACCAGAGGATGGAAGATCTCTCTCTCTCGCTCTCTCTCTCTCTGCCTCTCTGTAACTCTGCCTTTCAAATAAATAAATAAATCATTAAAAAAGAACAAGTAACTTACATGGCGTTGAGGGTGTCTGGAGCTGCGCCTGGCCCCCGAGCCACACGCTGGCTTGTCAGCCCCTCCTGGGGTCTGAGTGACAGGCAAGTCTGCTGTCAGAGAGACCTGTCGGCCTGAAGACAGGAAGCTAGTGCTGTTTCTGATGACTTACACCTCTGTCCTTTCTTAATCACTAGATCTCACGCTTTCCACGAAGGCTCACAGAAGCTGCTGGAGTTGAACTGACCTGCATGGGGCGGCTCCGGCTGCCCCAACAGCGTAACCTGCCCGGGGCGGTGTAAACCAGAGAGGGAGCTGCGTCTCCCCCCGCCCCCAGGCCCGGAGTGCACCAGACTTAGCCCCCAGCCGTGCCTTTACAGGGAGAAGGAGAGGGTGGGCTCTCTCACCTCTCTCCTTGAAAGGCCACCAGTCCCAGGAGGTTAGAGCCCTCAGCCACCTCCTGAAGTCCCTGTCTGCAGATACAGTCACACAGGAGGCGGGCACGGCGACACACTCGCTCCACTGTATGATCCAGTCTTAAATGTGCTCAGCTGTGACACGCCTGATGGACTTGGCTGCTCCTTGTGTGAGGCCATCTAAATATGGCCGATTTGAAGCCTGTAATGCTGGCTGGCGCTGCCACCTGCAGCGCTAGCAGCCCATATAGGAGCAAGTTCAAGTCCTGGCTGCTCCACTTCCCATCCAGCTCCCTGATAATGGCCTGAGAAAGCAGTGGAGGAAGACCCAAGTGCTTGGGCCCCTGCATCCACCTGGGAGACCCTGAGGAAGCTCTTAGCTTCAGCCTGACCCAACTCCGGCTGTTGTGACTGTTTGTGCAGTGAACCAGCCTATAGAAGATCTCTCTCTCTCTCTCTCTCTCTCTGCACTTTCTCCCTAAAACTCGGCCTTTCAGATAAGCAAAATAAATCAAAAAAGAAAAAAGAAAGACACCCGTAATGCTGTGGGGTGTTCCTCGGGTAGTGTTACCTGGTGACATACGGACGTTTCCATTGCTTTAAAGATTGCCCACATCAGCCATGACAGAGCCTGGATGCCTTCATGGTGGTCACACATGTGGGTTCTGTCCTACTTCCCTGTAAAATTTGAAGAGTTTTTGGAGGTAGCAAACATGAATCCTATCATGCTGTCCCGCGGGTCCAGGGCAGGCCAGGCCAGCAGAGAGGAAGGAAGGGGTGGTAGCTGCAGGCCATTTGGGACCTATTTTCCTGCCATAACCGGGGATGGCCTGCAGCATCCTGGCAGCCTGAAGACTGAATTCGGGAGCGGTTTGGTGCGTAACCCGTGAGTGCCCAGAGCAGAGCTGGCCAGCAGAGAAGTATCCGAGCAGAGGAGTTAGGGTTTCTGCCAGGGGGAGATCTGCATATTCAGAGGACTAGAGCTAAGCTCATGGGACAGCAGAGAGGCCAAGTGACCCGGGAGGTGGCCAGCGGCTTTGGAGACGGCAGGCTGGAGTTGGAGCTGCTGTCAGTTTCCAGGTGCGTGGCCCAAGGCTCGGCTCTGGCTCCCAGGGCCCCCGACCTTTCATTGCCAAATCCCCCAGTGATTGCTGTGAGGGCCTCAGTTGACTGCACAAGAGGCTGAAGCAGGGCAGATGTCCTTGACTTAGGACAGTGCGAGTTCAGATTTTTTTTTTTTATCTTACAAAGCTCACACGTTCAGTAGAAACCATCTCTCCAATTTTGAGTTTGGGTCTTTCCCAGGGAAGCGCTGTGCAGTCCAGAGAGTCCCATGGTGGTGAGCCCTGTGCTGTTGATCTGGGGTGTGGGGTAGGGTGTTAGATTCAATGCATCTGCAATGCAGGATACTGCCATCCGGTACAGCTCCATTGTAAGCCGGGGCCATCAGAATCTGCTAACTGCTAGCCATTCCGGTGAGTTCACAGCCACAGCTGTTCTTCCTAATCCAAAGTGATTTATGATGGAAAGATACAAAATCCTCCTGACACAGTGTCAGGGCCTGAGAAAAACTCTGAGCAGCGCAAGAGGACATTTGGGCTTCGGGGCAAAACACGTCCAGGATATGAGGCCAGGCTTGTCATGAGTTCACTATCGCTCACTCCCCACCACTCAGGTCCCAGGTGCTGCAGGAGGGGCTAACGGTACACAAGGAAATCTGGCATCGCTTGGTTACTAGGGCGCTCGAAGTTTAGGGGAGACAGTTTCATAAGCAAATAGATAAAATAAGTGTCGTGTGATAGAAGCAGCAAGACTGTCCTCATGGAAAACACGGCCAAGAGTGGCTCTCGGTGCTGAGTCTAAGGAATATACTCTTATATGATCTTAACACAATGCTCAGATCTGCAGCTTTCTGAAAACTCTCAGAGCAACTGGGTCGAGTCCAGGGTGGACAACTCCAACTCCAGTGGCTTCCGAACCAGAGAGACACTTAAGTGTGTGGTTCAGGCGGACGTGGAGAACGGGGTGGGGCATCTGAGGTGAGCCAGCAAGCACTGATGGGCACTCAAGTCTGACGAAGTCTCACTCTCCAGAGAAGTCGTCCTGAAGGCCGGAGTTGTCCCACAGTGCACCGCTTTTCAAACTCAAGTTTAATGCCACCATGACTATACCAGGATCCTTTTGTCTTTAAAATTAACTTAATGGACATATAAAAAATGTGCATATTTATGGAGAACTATGTGATGTCTCATTACATGTATACAATGTAAAATGTCCAATCGGGGCTGGTGCCGTGGCTCAATAGGCTAATCCTCTGCCTTGCGGCACCGGCACACCAGGTTCTAGTCCCCGTCAGGGCACCGGATTCTGTCCCGGTTGCCCCTCTTCCAGGCCAGCTCTCTGCTGTGGCCTGGGAGTGCAGTGGAGGATGGCCCAAATGCTTGGGCCCTGCATCCCATGGGAGACTAGGAGAAGCACCTGGCTCCTGGCTCCTGCCTTCGGATAGGCGCGGTGTACTGGCCGCAGTGCACCGGCTGCGGCGGCCATTGGAGGGTGAACCAACGGCAAAAGGAAGACCTTTCTCTCTTTCTCTCTCTCTCTCTCTCTCACTGTCCACTCTGCCTGTAAAAAAATGTCCAATATATTTATCCTTTCAAGCGGTTAGCATTTCTTTGTAGTGCAAGCATCAGGAATCCTCTCTTCCAGGATTTTTAAAATAGAGAAATGCCAGTCATTTCTATTATCTATGGTCACTCCGCTGTGGGGAGCAACTCGGACTAGACTAAGTTACTGGAATTAAGACTTATTCTATGCATCTGCTCTCCCACAATATGGCGCTGGGAGAGGAGGCAACAGCTTCTACCCAGCTGCCTCTCACCAACTTGACAAGCTGCAGGACCTGCTCCTGATTGGAGGAGAGCAGCGTACTCGGCGTGTGGGCAGCCGAGTTGGGATTGGCAGAGGAGGACTATAAAGGAGGAGAGAGACGGCATGCACCAGGAACATCTAAGGGGAACATCTAAGGGGAACACCTGTGCAGCCCCCAGAGAGCCGGCCGGTGGTGTGCCGCTCCCCTGCGGAAGTGGGGAATGTGGCCAGGGGGAACTGCCCTTCCATGGAGGTGGAAGGGATAGTAGCCAACCTGGGAAGAACCAGCAGCAAACCCGGGAAGGGCCGAGCAGACGAAAGAACAGCGCAAGGTCCTGTGTCGTTCCTCCGTGAAGAGGGGGAGCGACATAATGGTGCCGTGACTCGGATATGAAGCCTAGGCAGGGTCCTGTGTCGTTCCTCCGTGAAGAGGGGGAGTGACACTCCGCTGTGCAATGGAACCCCGGAGCTTCTTGCTCCTGTCTAAGCTATACCCTAGCACCTGTCCATCAACCTGTGTACCCGCAGTCTTGTATCCAGCAACGTGCCGGACATTGGCTACTCATTGAGAACTAACACCTTCATCAATTAGATCAATTGCTCATTTAGGGAAATCTGTCCATTCCCTATCACAAGGACCCAGAGCAGGCTCCTGTCCCCAGCTCTTTCCTCATTCAGGTTATGTGAGAAAACGTCACTTTCTCACCCACTTTTGGCGAAGTGAGGCCCCGAGTGTGGCCGGTGCTGCATCACGGCCACGTGATGTGTTCAGCTGCCAGCCCCAGTCCACAGCGCTCGCTCTCCGCTCTCAGGTGATGACAAAGGACGCCTCACAGGGAGCTGGCAGAGCCTGGAGGCAGCGGCGACCTTGCTCATGGGTACACACGGGGACGGGGAGGGTCCTGTGCAAACCTTGCCCTAGCCACCTTTGCATCTGAGGCCCTCCACGTCTGGAGGTCACCTGTCCCTGTGGCAGGCTGGCCTGCCCTGGCCAGAATGCTCCCTCCAGTCAGCACGCTATTACTAAGGTTGGTGACAGCCATGTGACTCCAGTAGGGCTTGGACCACTGGACTTCACAACCCCAGTCCATCACGATGACCAAGATCTGCATCCTCCATGCAGGTGCCGCCCCCAACCTCTGGGAGCTCCTCACCCACAGGGAAGGAGCCACTGCTTCCCACAACCCTGAAGGGCTGAGAATAGATTTTAGAATAATTTTTGAGTCCTGTAGAAGGTGGTAAGCATTCTGTTAAGTACTTTGCACGGATTTGGATTGTTTTTCTTACGTTTCTCAAAAGCCATACAAAAGAGGTATTAGGATCCCCGATTTGATTGCTAAGGAACCTGCAGCTGAGGGAGTCCAGCCAGCTGACCACAAGGGAGCCGGCAGGTGTTGGGTCCAGCCTGACTCTGACACCACTCGCAGGACGGTGACGTTCAGTGGTGGTGGTGAAGTCCCACTCAGGACACAGAGGCTCGCCAGGTCGTGGTGAGCACACCCTGCTTCTGCCGTCACACTCCGCTTCCCTCTCCTCTCCTAGCTGCCCAGGATAATGTCATTCCTGCATTTCTGGGTATTGTTTTAAAAAAGACTTATTTGATAAATCAATAACTTATTTATTTATAAATCTATCTATTTATTTATTTGTTTACAGAGGTAGGGAGAGACAGAGACAGAGAGGCAGAGAGAAGGAGATCTTCCATCTGCTGAGTTCAAAGCCCGAGGTACACATGCGATTTCACAATGGAAGAGTGACGGGGGCTGGCAGCTCAGGCAGGCGAGTGGGAAACCAAGAGGAGTCACGGACATGTCACTGAACGTGTGATGCTGATCTGATCTGAAGTTTGAAATTAAGAGAAATGTCCAGGCTGTCAACCGGTAGAAAAGGTATGTGTGTGTGTGTGTGTGTGTGTGTGTGTTGGGCTCCCAGGGGATCAAAGCCTGCCCTGGAGATCGGCTGTCGTGACGGGCTCTCAGGAGCAGCGCCCCAGGAAGGCAAGGCAAGCAGAGGACTGGGCACACTGCAACAGAGCTGGGGGTGGGGGTGGAGAGCCCTGGGGCCTTGTCCCTAGGCAGGGCACATGGAGCAGGTGCCGACCCTGCAGGGGCCGGTTCCTGGAAGCAGCCTGGGTGAGGCAGCTGCCTTTGGCTGAGGAGGCCTCCTCCATGGGGTGGGGGGCCTTCAGCATGCACCACTCCCAGCAGTGCCTTGGTGCCCTGTGCAGAGGAGTCTGCATGACCTATGAAAACATCCATTGCACCTGTGCACAGCTCACCAAGCCTGGTCAGCTGGTGGCTGGAGAACGACGTCTTGTTTTCCTGTGACCCTCTCAAGTCCCTAAAACAGCAGGGCACATGGCAGCATCCACTCGGAATGAGCTCCAGGATCTGAGTTACTGACGGGAACACAGTATGCCCGTGTGGTGCCTTGCTCCTTCCAGGTTGCCATCCCTTCCTGGCTCGTGGCTCCCTGCCTCAAACATGCCCTCAAGTCCTAGACAGCACACCTTCCCCTCCTCACCTCGTCCAGCACTTGGGCTGTCTGTCAAGGCACAAGTGCACAGGAGTTACTGCCATACCAAAACCAGTTTACGGTCGATGTGTGTGTCAGCCTACACTATGCCGCCATTGCCAGCAGATCCTAAAGTGTCATGTGGTTTCACAATGGAAGAGTGACAGGGGCTGGCAGCTCAGGCAGGCGGGTAGGTAGCCCAACCAACGGCGCAAGTCTATGTGCCACTGGCATTTGTCCTACTGCAGGGCAGCTTGCAGGTCCAGGCTGGTTTTCTCTGGTGGTTCCACCAACTCAAGACGTGGCTGCAAGGCCACTGTGATGGGAACAGGTGAGGAGAGGGCCTTGAAGGTCAGTGAGGGAGACCCTGACATGAGACCCTGCCCACAGCCTCTCAAACACAGTGCGTCACTATGCTGGCCTGACTGGAAGAAGCCTGGCAGTATTTATGGAGAGCTGGGTCTTCACATAGGAAAATCCACCTTTGCTGAATGCAACACAGTCACTGCTTCCGCACTGAAGAGGTCTTCAGCTACGTCATCCAGCCACCCGGATCCTATCGTATTAGTACAGAAAGGCAGCGTGGTAATAAAGAGTGAAAAGCCTGCTGAGTCAGCTGCGAATCGTGAGCCACAGCACCACGGATGCCGCCAGCCGGCAGTCATCTGGGAACTGGCACAGGTCTCTCTAAACTGCAGGCTCTCCATATGTTGAATGGAAACATTAGGCACAATTCCTCTCCGGTCTTTTCAGTTCCAGAATGTCTGTTTACAGCCTACGGCTCTCGCGTTTGAGCCATTCAGACAGCTCCACGTTTATTTCCTCCAGTAATATTTGTGAAATGCCCAGAACACTTCAGCCAGCGCTGGCAGTGGTGGTGAACAAGACGGATCACAAGCCCACTCTTTGGTCGACATATTAACCATTCTCATTTATTGCTGGTTATCTTGGCGCCTTGTTTTGGCACTTTCATTATGACACTTCTTCTCTAATCACAGTCACGCGTAGGTACCGTCTGGGGGCTCACGGCAGTTTACCAGGGAATGAGGTACCATCAGCTCAGGGGTGTGAATAACATGTACATTGTTTCATATTTCTTTTTTTTTTTTTTTGACAGGCAGAGTGGACAGTGAGAGAGAGAGACAGAGAAAAAGGTCTTCCTTTTACCGTTGGTTCACCCTCCAATGGCCGCCATGGCCGGTGCGCTGTGGCCGGTGCACCACGCCAATCCGAAGACAGGAGCCAGGTGCTTATCCTGGTCTCCCATGCAGGTGCAGGGCCCAAGCACTTGGGCCATCCTCCACTACACTCCTGGGCCACAGCAGAGAGCTGGCCTAGAAGAGGGGCAACCGGGACAGAATCCGGCACCCTGACCGGGACTAGAACCCGGTGTGCCGGCACCGCAGGCGGAGGATTAGCCTATTGAGCCTAGGCACCAGCCCGTTGTTTCATATTTCTGAAGGTGTCTTCTTCAGGATTCTCCAGGGAACTGGAATATCTATCTATCTATCTTCTACCTACCTACCTACTTATCAATGGATAGACTCACTCTACAACACAGCCCCATATGTAAGAGGGCAGTTATTACAGGAATTGACTCACGGTCATCTGGAGACCAGGAAATCCTGTGATCTTCTGTGTCTGGGCTGCAGAGCCGCCGGTGTCATTGGGCCTGAGGCCGAAGCCCGGAGAAGCTGCAATGAGACGGAGGAAAGGGGGGTGACACAGGCTGCTCCAAGCCCTGGAGTCCAAACACCAAACAACAAGCAGGCGGGATGTCCAAACGCAGGAGAAGCTCCAACACAGAGAGCCCATTCCCACTTCTCCTATGTTTTCATTCGGTTTGGAGCCCCCAGGGGTTGAATGATACCTATTGGTGAGGAAGGGTCTTCTTTACTCCACCTTCTGATCCAAATGCTAATCTGAGAAACACTGAGAGACACCCCCAGACATGTCTTCCTGGCTACCGGGGTATCCCATGGCCCAGCCGGGTTGGCACAAGAGATTCACCATCACAGGGCTACAGGTCCGAGAGCCAGGTGTGGACAAGGCTGGCTCCCTCTGAGCCTGTGCCGGGGAATCTGTGCAGGCCACCCCCAGCAGCAGGGTTGCAGGGTAGTGGCTGGCTCTCTTTGGTGTCTCCTGACTTGTAGAACCACTGCCCCAATCTCTGCCGTCATGCTCATTGGTGTTTTCCCTCTGAGTCTAAATTGCCATTGTCATGGGGACACTAGTCGTATGAGATTAGGGCCCACCCTATTCCATTATGACCTCATCTTAACTAATAGCATCTGTAATGAGCCTGTGTGAACATAAGGTCACATGCTGGGGTACTGGGGGTTAGGCCATCGCCATTTGCATCTTTGGCAGACACAGCTCAACCTGTAACGTGAATTTCTTCTTTGCATCCTCTTTCTGGAAGTTTTGCTTGCAGCTGCTTGAATACCACGCCCTTTCTTAAATGGATGCTCCACCCACTGAGGAGACAGCTGAAGGTGCCAAGGTTGGCAAAGACAAAGACAAGCCCTTCGAGGGAAGGCGGGTGGAGGGGTGGACAGGGGAAGCATTCCCAAGAAGATGTGCAGTCACAGAGACGTTGCCCACTCCTTGTCTTTGCCCCAGAGAGGCACAGGAAGCCCCTGGGAGTGGCACACCTGGCAGGAAGGCAGTGTGCAGCCCACTCCTCCTGTCTTCCAGAACAAGGGGACCAGGGGCCACAGACCGGCTGAGGATGGGCAGTCACGTTCCACAGCCCTCCAGAACCCTGCACACCCCTGCGAGCCAGAATGGGAACCAACAGGCAATTTCCTGTGACTCTATGGAATCCAAAATTGAATTTAAGTCCACCTTAACAATGAATAAAATGAATTTTTTACACTTACAGAATGTGTGATCACAAGTTCACACAACATCAATTTCTAATTTTTATGTTTTTAACTTACTCCATGGGTGTGCGTGTTGAGCTTCCTTGATTTTGCACCCAGAAGAGAAACTCGAGAACGGGTTTCCATTTTCCCAGCCCCTGAGCAGCTGATGGCAGCATTGGTCCTCTGTCCTGCCTTCCGGCCCACACGTGATGACACTCAGAGCAAGTCATCGAGGAGACGCTCAGTGATCCAATCATGAGTCACACTGCTGATGCCCCAGTGGCAACCGTGGGCATGTTTGCAAAGGGGGAGGTGTGGACAAGTCACACGTGCAGGGGCCTGGACTGGACACCAGCCTTGACGGCTGTCAATGACCTTGAGACAGTCAGGGCCGTGGCTCAGAGGCACAGCTCAGAGGAGGTATAGCATTCATTGTTGACTGCGTGCTTGTTACACTCAAGGCCCTGTGAGGCAAAGCAGAAACATGACATCACTGTCCAGTGCAGTCCTAAGATCCAGAGAGTACTCCACGGCGGAAGTGTGGCAGGTGCCGTAACTCACGTAAAAAAGCCGAGTGCGTGTGACAGTTCAGGGTTCGGAGCTCTCCGTGACAGACTGGGAAGACTTCACACAAGAAACCATAGCAGACCTGTCTTGGGGGATCTGCTGTGAAGTGAGCTTCCCGGGTAGGCGCCCTCTCTCCCCATCACCCCATCCATGACGGCATCACAGGGCAGCAGAGTTTGGGAGCGAACACACCCATCAGCGTGGGAGCCCTTCCAAGCCTCAGGCAGGGTCAGGGTTGGTTTTGCACCTCAAGCCTCTTCCTCCCGCCCAGGCGTTTCCCTGCAGGCTCCCAGTTGGATTTCTCTGCCCCTGTGCATTGCAGCAAAGTCTGCTCCTCGACACAGCCCACCTCCTCACCAGCACTGGCACAGTTCTAGCTCCCCGTGCACCTGCAGGCGTCCACCCATGCATGCGCCGGTTTGCTGGTTCACCAGTGGTTTCACGGGCACTGCCCTGGTGCTCTGTGCAGATGTGGGGGTGCACACATGTTTCCTACAGAGCTCCGGCCCTTAATCTCTCCCCTCTCCAGCAGGAGGCCTGGGGGAAAAGTGCTGTCCTTAGCATTCGTCCAGTTTTGCATTTGCACAGCCCATTTGATGGGCACTGAGGCATCGGAAGGCGTGTGCTTGTTCTTATCTCTGGAGAGGGGAGCTATTTACCAGCATAACTGCTCCGTGCAGATGACCACAACTGGGGCTTTTTTTGGTTTTTAAGATGAGAACGTATATCTGTTTTTTTTTTTTTAATTTTATTTTTTTTTTATTTTTAAAGAGATGTGGACGTACCAGAGGAAGACAAATCATGGAGACTTTCAAGAAAGTTACAAATATGTTGCTAAATTTTTGGGAGAAATAAGACTTAGGCCCTCCCAAGAACTCGGGGACACATGTAGGACAGCCACTTGCGTTTTCTAGATAAGCAGAGTAGAAAGAGGTGATCTCTCGGTAGCGCTGTGGCGCAGCGGCTTAAATCCCTGGCCTGAAGCACCAGCATCCCATATGGGTGCCAGTTCAAGTCCCAGCTGTTCCTCTTCCGATCTGCTGTGGCCTGGGAAAGCAGTGGAAGATGGCCCAAGTCCTTGGGCCCCTGCACCTGCCTGGGAGACCTGGAAGAAGCTCCTGGCTTCTGGCTTTGGAGCAGTGCAGCTCCGGCTGAGTGACCCAGTGGATGGAAGACCTCTCTCTCTGTCTCTACCTCTCTCTGTAACTCTGTCTTTCAAATAAATAAAATAAATTTTTTTTAAGAGGTGATGTCACTCGCTTCGGGTCACCTTGTTAGGGGAAGAAGACTATGTGAGGGTATCTCAAACACTGTGGGCAAATGGAATTAAAACTTGTTTTGGTGCAAAAAGTTTCTGAAATCCATTTTTTTATAATACACATTTTCCGCGATGTTTTCGAAGGCCCCCTGTATGCACGGATTTCAAGACAATTTCCGCACCAACATAAGCTTACCTTTGAAAGCGATTTGGCACAGCCTTTTTGAAGCTTTTTATAAAGGCTCTGCTCGCATGTGCGTGCAACAGAACGGAATCCAACGCTAGTGCCCGCGAGCAGGCGGCGGGCAGAAGATCTAGGAATTCTACCCCAAAGCTCGAAGGCTCCAGCAGAAGCGGCCCACTGCGCTGCCGGCATCGCGGGCGCCCAGGGGGCCACCAGGCCCGCGCGGGTCCCCCTCTCCTCCACGCACTGGCCCCGGGACGGTCGGAGAGAGGTCCTGGAGAGCCAGGGCCTGCTCCGCGCGCTCTCCAGCCCGGCTGCGAGGCTGGGACGCGTCATCCCGCTT